TGTGACTAAGGGTAAACACGACCGATTTTTTCTATTTTTTTTTTCCTATATGATATTTGTTTTGATTTTGGATACGGATTCGAAATCGAAATCGGAGCGATGTCAGCGTTCAAAAGTCGCGCCTCTTACTGCGGATGGCGCTGACGATGCTCGCGGTTTTTATATCGCAACCACAACAGCAGCAGCAACAGCAGCAGCAGCAACCACTTGCTCTTCGGGTTGCATCAAGCTGGAATATCGCCACCATCACCGAAGTTGGAGTTGAAGTTGAGTATTTTTTCTTGTTGTTTAAACCCAAGCCAAAGGCGAAGGTGGATTGTGAGTTGTGAGTAGGGGAAACAAAGAAGAGTTCACCACCAATGGCACCGCACGTCTCTACATAAATATTGCAGTGTGACTGAAGGTGTAGGTTGTCTGAGATTGCTCCAACGGAAAGATAAAGATGAAGATTCGCTGCTGCAAAAAAAAAAACGAGAAAAAAGTTTTCTGATTTAGAAAGCATGCTTTAATGCAAATTCAGTCTGCAAACATTTTTTATTTTATATCAATTTCAACTAGACGATTTTTTGGCACAACTAAAACAAATATTGTTTACATAATCGAGTATATATAAGGATTACCTTTGAGAAAGTGATTAAATTATATGATTCCAGCAGAGATTGTAAATTAAGAGGTATTTGAGATTTAAATTTTAGTTCTGGAATGTTTTCCACTTTTGATCACTTATCATTTTGTCTGATGATAATGCATTTTGTTGATAAGCTTGAAATGCAGCTTTATTAGTTTTTCAAATTTGTAGATGTTTGTAAACTTTGTGGACAATAGTAAATCTAGTGTTATTTTTTCGTTAGTCTCTTACATGGTAGGTATAAGTGTTGAGGTTCTCCTTCCTGAAATAACTCTAAGTAGAGCTTTTTGAAATGTATCTTTTAAATACTCAACATCGTCACTACGTGGACGGCCGTCCACGGTGATTAACTCTTATAAATCTTATAACTTAGAAGTTATCAGTGTATTTTTACCAGTATATACATTAAGTTTTTAATATTCCATCACCTGAAGATGAACTTTACTTTGTGCAGTTTGTTGTAATGTAATTTTCAATTATATTACTCATTTTCCAACTTATCCGTATTCAAAAGTAGTTCTGATCTGTTTTCCCCATAATCCGAAGCAAGCCTTGTTTCCCACACTGAAAATCATGGTCTGGACGACCTTGTCTCGCCATGGGAGAGCAACCTTTCACAAAGGGTATGTGAAACGTATGCGCTTACATTATCAAGGGAAGCTGAGAGACCTTTCCAATTTCTTTGGAGACAATAACAAAAAACCTGAAGCTTTTCCAGTTCAAGTTCAAAGTCATAAAAATATTGGCGTAACTTGGACTTATGACAAAAGGCGGCCTGGCCTGGACTTGATTAACCAGTAAAATCCGATTCCGGGGCCTTTCGTTTTGAGTGAATTCGTTTTTGGTTTTTATTATAATAATTTCTGTATTTCTGTATTGTTGTGCCCCACACACAACAAAAGCTCCAAACCAATCGAAACAGAAATTTGCATGAAAACAATTGCAGAGTATCATCCAGATGAGAAAAAAAAAGAAAAAAAGAAAACAGAGTGCCAGAGGTCCGCAAGTAGTCGCAATTTAATTGGCGCATTAAGTTGTCTTCGCTTGGGTTTAGCCTGGGATTTGGAGTTGGGATTTTGGTTTAGGTTTGGCTTTGGCTTTGGGCCATCCAACCAACCAGCCAACGGAGAAATGGCATAACAAGAGTTGGGGTTTGTGTTGCCTTTTTTTTTTTGGTTCATCGCTGGTGGGATTTGGTAATCAGTTTTGTCAAAAGACACGACACTCTAAGCGTAGCGAGATAACGATAAAAACCAGCAGATAACTGAAAACTAAAAACTGAAAAACTTCGTTCGCAATCACGTGCTTTGGTTGCATTGTCGAAAGTGTTTACGCTCCTGATACTGATACCCTTGGGTTTTGAAAATTTCGGACATTTCAGGGTCGTCGGCAATCTCCAAAAATGACATGATGAAGGCACTGATGAATGAACTAGAGTTCGAAAAAAATTCAGACAAAGAAAAATATTTTTGTTTACTAAATCCTTTATCCATACACTGATAACAAATATAATAGTAAACATAATAACAAATATAATAGTAAAAATAATAACAAATATAATAGTAAACATATGTACAGCTGCGGTCAAAATAATAGTAGTGTAAAAATGTAAAGTGCTTAAAAACATGTCTTTGAGGTATAAAATATACTTTTTTTAAACTATCATAAAAATTCTATAAGAGGTGTAGATTTTTATATTTGCTCCCTTTCGTTGATAGTATTAGCTTCACGAAAATATACACAAAAATTTTCAAAAGTAGCTTCTAAACTATTTTTAATTGTTATTTCAATTAGTTAAAAAACTACTTTTATTTTGACCGCAACTGTATGGCCTTATTATCATGTTGAGGTAATTAGTTCTTTATTTTTATAAATTGTAGCTTACTTTGACACTTTTAAGGCTAATATTCCTAGTGGTTTTTAGTGTTTTTTTTAGAAACTTGCTTGTATCTTCTTCTTTTTTTTAAAGAAGTTCTGTTAAATAATTTCATTCCTTGACCTCATCCAGGGTAACCTTGATTCGCTTCACCCTACGATCGCCCTCTAAGTTTGCATTTCTCTTGCATTTGAGCTCGCGTTGATGGACGCGCATCGATAAGCGAAAAAAGCAATTGAAATGTTGGTCAGCTCGCCAGCTTGACGCTCTATTGTGCTTGTGCTCATCCCAAAAACCCTTGGCTCTGGTCGATTCCGATGCCAGCCAACAATGACCGTAGCGAATCGAAGCCCCGGCTAAGCAAACATTACACAATCAACAGTTGAAAAGCAAAATCAAAGCTCAACCTTAGCTCGATTTCAACTAGCCGTGGCTCATTGTCCATCGGTGCAATTTATCGGTGTCACTTAGTCAGCGCTTATAATAGGGCATTGTGATTATTTTCTTTTTGTACTGGGCAAGTCCCCGATGCTGAAGATGATGAAGAGGCCTACGGATCTCACAAATAGTTAAATAGTTAAAAAGATCGAGAAGGCCGGCCGTGGGCTGCCACAAAGGGAGACCCTTTCTGAATTCGAATGCAGATTTACGATCGAGCCTACGATTTATTTCGGATGGCACAAACTAGAGCTAGATTTGACCCCTCGAGAAGGTCACTGGCTGTGCACTGAGCAAAAATCACCAACAAAAAAAAATAAACTGTCACAGAAACTAAACTGTTGTTAAACGAAATTGAAACTATTGAGTATTAAACATTTCTCAGTAAAATGAGTATTAAATTATTACCACAAAAGTATCATAATAAAACATATGTGGTTTAAAAATAAGGTCTAACATTACAGTGTAAGGCTCTTCGGTATAGACTAAAAAGTTTAGGGGTTATATAGGGGTTGAAGTTTATTTTTAAAACTAAATAGAACTGCACTGAATGTGAATGTAGGTCGAAGGTTAAAGACAGTTTTTTTTTGTTGTTGTCTTCATTCATTTTAATTATATTCATTCTTACCTGTCAAAGCATCTCCAACAATATATGCCTTCCAGATTTTTATTTTTAAATAAAGATTGACAAATTTTATAAATACACTAATACGAGATAATTATTTTTTTATATATTTTTTAATTCTCAAAAATAATTTTCAAAAAATTGGTCGAAATTAGTAAATGGTTTTTTTTTAATACAAGATTTATAGCTATTCTTGATGAGATATTTTGTATGTGCAGTGCGGTCATTTATCCAAAATATGATATGCCAAGACTGTGTCTGTGGTTTTTAGAAAATGGGATTTTTCCGGATTATTGCTGCATTGCATGCACTTTTTTTGTGCAGTGTAGACACGACGTCATCACCTTAATCAACAAGAGCCAGGAAATACGATGCTAGCTCACACCCTTAAAAACAGGGCAGGGCAGGGCATCATCCTCATCCTCATCCTCATTTGCCGTCTGCATATTTAATGGGTGACAAACAATGCAAAAATTTTGTGCCAGTGGCAGCTTCATTAACGACCATGAGATGGCCGTAACGAAACGAAGTAACACAACTTGCAACTGCAGCATCTTCGCTTCCTACTTGCATAAATCTTCACCTGTCCGTCTGTCAGTCTTTTTAGTCTTTCAGTCTTTTTAGTCGTGTGTTTGGTGTCTAGTGTCTAGTTTCTGTTGGATTCCAAAGTCGCATCTCTGCATCCGTGCATCTCCGCATCTCGGCACACTGCCACACAAATCATAATTTTGTGGCCACTTTGTGCGGCATGGTGCCGTAATTGTTTGTTATTGTTGGCTGTTTGGTTTATGGCCGCGATTACGTGATCAAAACATTGTAGCTTCCAATCGAATCGAAAGGAGAGGAGAGTCGATAGATAGTCCAAGGAATCGGTGGCTTTTGGGGGCTCAACTGGCTCATTGGCAAAGTCACATATTGCACATTTGATTCGATTGGCTTGGCCTGGTCTGGCCTGGCCTGGCTTTAAATGGAGAGTTCGAGAGCTGAAGATGCTGCTTGTTGCTGAAGTTGCTGTTATGTGATCAGCGATCAGCGATCAGCGATCAGCTTTTGGGGCAGAGGAAGCTCCTTTTCGGAGGCAAAAGTCATGAGGCTCAACTTTTATCGCATCTATAAATACTAAAACACTTTAAAAAATGCCTCCAAAGTGGATATACTTGAAACACAGGACAACAAAATGCGATTTTGGAAAAGCTGCTGGCTTATTTTTCCGTACAAAAAACGTCATTAGCGACTTATACAAGCATATTTGTATACTTAGTTTTTGTTTGTTACGCCAAGTATTTGTGTTGTGAATCTTGGTTCGATTTAAGATACACATATCTTAGGGACTAGGTACTACATTCATTGTGATAGCACGATATGTCTATGTTAACAAGTGTAGTTGGTAGTTTTCCCCCCAGTCCAAAGAAAACGCATTTCATGTTCGCTGCAATAAATATTCGTATTTGTAGGTACATATAGATTAAGAAAACAAAAAAGTAAAATCATTAAACTAGACCACTAATTCGCCTTGACTTTGTAGGGCTGACCCAGCGATTTCTTCACGATTCTCGATCGCTCCTCTTGCGAGTCTCGCTTATAGAGTCTCAAATGAGCCGGAGCTGGAAAGGCGAGTGTTTGGCGGTGTTGGATGGGCGTAAAACCTCCCTGTTGCTGAGGACTGTGCTCCCTGATCAGGCGGAGTACCTCCCAGCTGGGAATGTACGAGTCCAGCAGCGATTTTGAGGACCGACCGGCGAACAAATCCGGTGTGGGATCCGGTTGCGATGGCCGGAATGGTCTGATCCTCTCCAATCCGCCGGGTCTTCGAGTCGTAAGGCTCACAAAACTCGGGGGATATGGGAATGGAATCCGTGGTCCATTGGCATAATGTCGTTGAGGGGGCGTGGCAGGGGCGTAGGCGAATTGCTTGGACTGTTGAACCATCAAAGGTTGGGGCACTAGCAATTTGTTGGTGGGTCTACTCGGTCCCTGCACTGATAAAAAAAAGGAATGGTTAAAATAAATATTCAAAAATTAAGATTTGATGTCTTATGTTATATATGTATACTTTAAATACAAAATCATAGTATTAAATGCAATGCATACGTTTCATAATTTAATATTAAAATATATGAAAATTTATACTTTCTATTACTTTTTTTAAATGCATTATATTTAAGTTTAATATGGTTTAGATTTAAATACATTGATATTAAAATCCATTTCGAAAATAGTCAAATGAAATATGAGAAAAAAAAAACATTAAATAATAAATTAACTAAAAACTTTAATGGATTATGGATTTTAGTGGTTTAAATATTTAAAATGACTAAAAACTTTAATGGATGAAAATGTATGCAAGAATATTTAAATTGATTACGAATTTACAACCAATTTTTTTTTTTTATTTTTTTTTTAATTTATTTCTTTTTGTTTACCAGTATTCGTGAATCCATATACAAAAGGTGGCCTGCCATGGGGCGGTGGTAGTGGGCGTGGCACTGGGAGTGGCAGAGCATTACTCGTCACATATTGTATACCGTTTAAGCTCAAATCCAAATCGTATGGAACTATGGGTTTCGCGAATCGAGTAGGTGTCGGCGAGGGCGTGGGAGTGGGCGTGGCAGTCGTGGGTCCACTGTGTGACAGAAAAAAAGAAAGGGAGAGGAAAAATAAGCAAATTAAGCAACTACTTAAATCTACTTAAAATTACAGCAATCTCGTTTCCTCCATTTGTCGGAAGCCGATTCAATTGTGAAGTGAAATGCTGCCATTTCAACACTTTTAGCCACTAACTAAGTAATTTATCCATCTTAAATTGGCCAGAAACGATCGGTGGGCCCCACAAAAATTTCTATCGCCCCAATGTGACTAGCATTACTGTTTCCAATTCCCAATCGCCAAGCGGCAATTTTGCACGTCAATCAAACAGCCCAACTAGTCGTCAATCAGTCGGTCATTAGAGGGTTAACTATAGCATCCTGATCTCTGTGGTTGAGGGTTAAATGAACTTTGTCGTTGACTGGCGCACAATGCATGTTAATTTTTAATATATTACTAAGTAGCTTCTTCTGAACGAGATGTTTAACTGTTGAAATTAAAGCCTTAAAAAACTGTTTTTTTTATATAAGTTTACCCGATTTTTAATATAAACATATTTGAACTGTGTTTTCTTTTGTTAAAATCAAATTAACTATGAATCACTAGCTAATTGAACAGCCTTCTTCATTATTTGTTTTCAAAAACAACCTATATTCTTTTTTTTGTTCTTTAGGGTTTGGGTATTATAATTCCAGTCAAAAGTTTGCTACGCTGATATTTCAAAACTAATAAAATATATATCTTCTTATTCACTACAATAAATCTTTCATTAATTCTTAAATTAAGAATTTTTGTGGATTACTGAAATATGAAATTTGGACAAGACAACACATTTCGAGCTTGAGTTCTCTTATGTCAGGTTTTTTTTAAACAAAGCACATGTTTTACTTTTTATGAGTGTACGCAAAACTAGTCTCTTAGTTATTAGGATAAAAGTATCCAAAAAGTACATTTTTGTATTACAATATGTAATCATATTTAATTATTTTATGTTGCTGTTGATCGAAAGATAAACAACAAAATTTTTTCAAACAATAAATTTAATTTTTTTAACCTAAACTTAAAAGCATATTTGTTTTCCCCCATCTTAAAGCTTTTAATCTTTGTTTTTTAAGTTTGTACGCTTTAAAGTTTTTAAACCTTTTGTATTAAGTTTTTTCATTTGAAACTTTAAAGCCTCGAACTTTGAGCTTTAAGTTGTGAAGCTTGAAGCGCACATTTCAGCTTGCAACCTCATCGTGCTTAACAACCAAGCTTACTTTTGGTTTTAGCCAAAGCTTGAGCTAGTTTTAAGCCCCTTGACATTAGAGCTTGGATTAAAAGCTTCTTCGGGGAGTCATACTCACACATAGAGTACACCAGGCAGGTGGGCGGGAAAGGCGTAGCCCGAACTGAGTTGCTGGTGCTGCCGTTGCAACTGCCGCAGCTCCTCCAAACGCTGCAGCTGCTCGAGATTGCGCTCCCGTTGGGCGGCATCCTGGATGTAACTGGGTGGCAAACTTGCCGCCACATCCGGTCGCCATTCATAGTGATTGGGCAGGAGGGGCGGTCGATTGAGGTCCAGATGCTGGTGCTGTTCCTGCTCCTGCTCCTGTTCCAAGTCCTCCAATCGCAGGGGTAGTGGCGAAGTGTCGTCATCGGAGCCAGGAGGAGGTGGTGATAGGACACCTTGGACACCAGCTACTAGGCCGACGGACAGAAGGAGCAGTTGGCACAACACCTGTTGGGTGAGTTGCAAATAAAAATGAGTCAGACGATAAGAAGGGTCAGTTAGTTGCCTTCGCGTTTTAGAAAGTACTCTTACTTTTTCAATTTTTCATTTACTTTAATATTTACATATGTGCTAACAACGTTTTATGTCCACGAATAATACATTGATTTTTCTTTAATTTTCACATATGCTTCGGGATATACCCTTTTTATATTTTATAAGATACCTGTAAAATATTATATATATAGCTGTCATAAAAATTTCGAAAAATATTTCATAAATTAACAGAAAATGCGACTTTGTTGTTTTAAAACAAGTACGAATTTTACTCGAAATACAAATATTGTTTTAAAAATACACGCAAACAGATCGACTTATATTATTTTATAATATATTACATTTATTTATCACTGCAAGTTTATATATGTGTTTGGCTGGTAGTTTACCCGATGTTAAGATTATACGAAAGATAATGCTTATGTATTTGTATAACAATTTCATACAAATCCTATTACTTAAAACCAAATTATATAACTATTGCCTGACCTTCAAGCGTAAATCGCCTTAGCGGCAAGTGTATTCGCAACTTGGCTCTTTGAATTAATTTTGTCTTTTTGTTACTTTTGCACAGTGTCTGCCTAGTTGGTGAAAGGTTTTTAGTTTCGCTGCGGCGCGAATGGGCCACGCCCATCAGCGCCTATTGATGCGTTTAATTAAGTTTGACCATTTTTAATATAGCTCAAAAATTGCAAAAGGGCGGAGAGGGTACTCCCTCAGTTTTTTTTTTGTTTCTTGCAGCTCTTTTGTTGGCAGTCGAGTGGAAAGATCAATAGATACAGCAGATATTGTGGGGCGAGACAAATTGCGGTGTGAAATCTGTGCAGGCCAAGCCCGTGGGTGGGACATCCCAGTTTTCCAACCACCATTCGATTGTGCACCTGCTGGCGAAGGCCATTCGACTGATAAGCCACTTGCAGAGCGGCCTTTCTAAAAAATCTTCGTTCCGTAACTCTGCAAACTTCGAAAACTCCGAAAACTCTGACCAAGCAACTTACGAGCATTTGTCACGCGACGAAGAAGCATTCCAGTTGATGTGGCAACTGCAAAACTAGTTGCACTAGCCACTAAGTCACATGCGTGCCCCAGTTTGGAGGCCTCTTTGAAATTATTTTTGGCGGCCCCGTGGTGTCGGCTAATGATCCCAACTAGGTCAAATGACATAAGACATAAGACACAAGATACAAGATACAAGATGCAAATGCAGCTTGATTGATGGCTAAGAGAAGCTAATGGAGAGCGCATCGTTAACATGCGTAATTTGCGCCCCCCTTACAGCGAAAAACATGGGCAAAAACTGACCACACATAGTGTAAACATGGTTAAGACAAAAAAAAAAGAAGAAAAAAAATGATAAATCGAAAATAAAAACTAAAGACTCAAGACACAAACTCGGCACAGGGCCAGCGCAAAGACTTTGATTAGATCTGCTAAATGCAGTTCAAGTTTAACGAGGTTCTATGGCAATGCCAGTTTTTCAACTTACATTTCTTGATCAATGCAAATACCCAGCTTATAGTGGCCTTTCCTTTTCAAAAATTCCCCTATGAAAGTGAATTGAACCCACCCATATTTCTCCATTAATATATATCGCTTTATCTCAACTTTCCCCCTTTTGTCTAAGCAAAATAATAATACCACTGGTGACATATCATATCATCAATCAATGCGCGGACCATGAAATTGTCTCAGCTTGGGCTCATTAGAGCTATTTTGTTTTCGAACAACTCAATCACACACATTTTCTCTCTTTTGATGTCTAAATATGAGTTTATGCAACAATCAATAGATTGTTTTTGGCACCGATTTCTTTATCAGTGTGTAGGATATATTTTTAAATTATTTTATGATCTTTAATAACCTAAACAAGGGTCTCTAAACTATCAATTAGATGTTTTAACTTCTTAGATTCCTTTTTTAACTTCCTATTTAGTTATTCGATATTTCTTCTATTAACTGACTATTTATCAATGCCATTCACAAGAATTGTCAACTTAATTTTCGTACATAATACACGTTATATTTAATTTGTAAATTATTAAGTTACTGTACAACTTAGTAACACACTATTTCCAATCGAATTATTTGATCTTTCTGCTCTTGATTTATCCATTTGAGATGCCATTCCTTTCTGGTCGCTTACATACGCACCATGATTACAGTGTGTCCCGTTTATGGTCGCCTACGCTGATGATGATGATTATAATAACCAAAAATGATGATGATGATGGGGCTGCTTGACCGCCTTGATCCGGCTGGATGTGGATGGCGATGATCACTCCTTCGAGCGAACCAGCACAGACAACATTCACCAGTTCGCACGAATTACACTTGGATGGATACACCAAACAAACACAAAAAAATGTGAGCACTAAACTAAAGTCAGGTCGTCCAAGAGCCGAAAATGAAAATCTAAACTGAAAATGAAGTCTAAAGCCAAAAATTAAAACCGAACCGTACGAATGACGAGCGCTGAGGCGACTGCACTGGCGCGAAGCTCTAACGCGGTGTTTTATAGTTGAGTTGTGCCTTCGCCGCCTAATTCTCTCGGGTCTCGAGATTAGAGACTCGAAAATCGGAACCAAATGGACGGCATTCATTGACTTTGGACTAAACGTGGCCACCTAGAGATGCAGATGAGCGAAGGATGGATGGAACACAAAGGCGGATTGGATCCGTTTAGAGCTGCGGCAATTAATTGAAAAGGAAAGTAAATAGCTGCAAGCTCAGTCGCTCAGTCGTTCAGCCGCCGCTCAGTAACTCAAATTGAAATCATTTCAAACTCAATCAGCAACAAGAAAGCGAGCACACCGCCCAGCCACAACAACAAAGGCTAATTTACGCGTTTTAAAGTGTGTTATAACAACGTCGGACAAGTGAAGCACACACCCCAGTCAGCCAGTCAGTCCAATCATTAGTCGAATTCCCACTTCGAATCCAAAAAACTTTAAGACCGGGGCATCGATAACCGCTCATTTCCGCAGCCAAAACGCTGCGGCAAGTGGCTATTTTCAACCCATCATCCAAATCCCATTACAAGGGATTCAACGCCATGGGGCGTCCTCCACATCATAGTGGATATATCATCGTCATCGCCGTCGTCAGTGCATCGACGACATGTGGAATGGTCGGTTGATTGAAAGTGAATTGTGGCACTCAGTGCGCCGTGTAAAGTGCCCCTCGAATTGCGTTCAATGCCCTAACGAGGGGGTTAACCGAATATTTGAAAACGTTTCCCACAACTAAATTGGGCACCAAACGCGAATTCTTTAGCAAAAGATTATTAAGCATATCACTTGGACATTATCTTAGCCAAGGCATTGAATTGAAAGCCCTATTTAAACCGTTCCTCGTAACTACATTGGGACTTGCACGCGAATTCTTCAGCTAAAAGTGTTCGAGCTTGTACAATATCTTATCCAAGGCTTCCAATAAATAGGCCTACCCAATAACTTTTTATTTTATTTTTTATATTTTTTTTTTTTTTATTTATTTTTTTTTTTGTATCTTTCTAACGCTACAAGTACAAGAAATAGTTAGAATATTATTAATTGTCTTAAGAAACTTATTTGCTGCACATTTTTTACTTTTATATTTTGTAAGAGTAGATGTGTGTTGCCATAGTCATTGTTTTGCGGTGAAAAGATCAAAGGCGTTTGGGCATTTGCTCCACTTAATGCGGCAAGTGAAAGATGCTTTGGGCTTAGCCCCTTTACTAACCCATTCCAAAGAACTGGATGACTTGGAATGAAGGCAATGAAAGCTCTATTTCGATTTCGGCCGGTTAATGCCAAATGAATTTGTCAAATTGTGACAATTAGGAGTAGACAGATGTAATGGCTGGCGGCACCGCTGACGCAACTTCCAAGTCTTTGAGGGGGGCATACACATATAGTACAGTACTGTGTATACTAGGCGACTCTGTTTCTCGGCTGAGCGTGAAATGGCGTCTTTCTTGGTCACTTTCACGCAAGCAGCAAATGTTAGAGAAACAAAAACAATGGCCCTGCATTCTGTCCGAAAACCGAATGACCTTCGGTTTTTGGGCTTTGGGTTTTGGGTTAAGGGAATCCAGCTTTAAAGATAGTAGCAGGTGTGTTTTTGTTTGCTCACTACTGTCCCCCACTTTTGCTGCTGTGCAAATAAACAGTCTAGATGGGAGGGTACGTATGGGTTCCATTTGGGTTTATTTGGGTCTCGTTGGGTTGTTGGCACATCTACCACGGATGGTGTGAAAACGAAAGGTGGAAGCCCGCCGAAGAACGGCGCCAGTGACTCAACTAAAGGGGAGTTATGTAAATTTAATGGAAAGCAAAATGGTCTTAAGTTTTTGCTATTTGCCATACGTGAGATAATAATTATGAGTTTGACTCTTTTTAACTCTCATGAGATTGCAACACAAAAAATGTATCTTATTATATGGATATATATTCTTGAGAAATGTGATCTACAAATAAGTCTGAATTTGTGGTGTCACTATTGAGTACAACCTTTATTAAAATGGTTTTAAGTTAGTGCTACATGCTTATTTAATTTCATAAGAGTGCAATTAAATAATTTTAAAAATTATTTGAATTTATATTCCTTTAATAAAAGTGATTTGTACAATATTTTGACAATTAGTCTGAATTTGGATTGCTGCTAATTAGGAATAATATTCAATTTTTCTCTGCAAATTGTTGGTGTACATTTATATTTTCCTGCAATTAATTTAGTACCCTTAACCATTATATATTAGAATAACCATTTTGCTCATTAATAAAACTTGCATGATATGAATCATAAGTCTGAATTTGGATTCCCACAAAACAGCTATGATATAAAATTTGTTCTGCAATTCATTTAGCACCATTTAACGTACTAAATCATTTGATAATAAGCAATTAGCACACACTGATGCAACTTGTATGGTTACAATTTATGACTCTAAATTTGCGTAGCCACAAATTGTTATAAAATAATAATTTGTTCTGCGATAAATTGATTACCTTTTAGACATTTTGCTCGCTTATAAAACATGTATATAGTATGACTAATGTTAGACAATGTTAAGATTTATTCAGGATTTTTTTACGGTTAGAAACAAAAAAAAAAAGAACAATTCTAGAGGCAATTTGTGTGACTTTGGCAGTGGCATATATCTTATAGTTTAAGGTCTGGCCCTCAGATACAAATGGTGACCATTGCCGGTGGTGGCTTCGTGACCACCACTTAATGCCATCGTGGAGGCCGGGAAATACTCGTTAAGGTTAAGCGAGAATGTGGGCGGGTAGTGTTTGTCCTTGGCTTCGCGATTGATGCGATAGCTGTTGCGGAAACCGGCGACGGGATTAATGGAACCCCCCGTGGCGGCGGCGTATCCCTGGAGAGCTCCGTAGTTCGGCTGCTGCAGGGCACTTAAAACGGCGGCTGTCCGTCCGCCAAAATCCGGTTGTCCGCCGGCGGAGATTCCGGCCGGAGATCCAGCCGCAGCGGCCGCAGCAGAAAGATACGGAGAAATGGGCACAATAATGGGACGGGTGGGGATTAACTGAAGATACTGGACCGCGTTGCCCGAACCATCTTGGATGGTCTGGGCCGGCAGATACTGCATCAGCATGGGAGTGGAGGGCAGACTGGCCACACTCGGTGTTCCACCCGTTTGCATTGGCGTGAAATTGGTCTCCATTTCGGGCATCTTGTACGAGGGCTTGAACGCCGGATCCGTGGGTGCTGACAAGACCTGGTTTTGTTGAAGCTGATTTGGAGCCAGGTTCTGCTGTTGGACCATGTCATAGCCACTGGCGTAGGCACTCAGCGAATTCAGGTGCGCCTCCTGTTGCTGCAGCTGCTGCTGCTGCTGTTGCTGCTGCTGTTGCTGCTGCTGTTGCTGCTGCTGTTGCTGCTGCTGTTGCACCTGTTGTTGCAAGCTATTTGCCGATTTGGAACTCTTGCCAGTTATTTCGGGACTCGAGACAGGGGATCCCAGCAGGAGGTAGGGAATCGCTAGAAGCTGCAGCAGGAACAGGTGACAGTGAATGGGTCGCTGGCACAGCATCTGCAGATACAAAACATTCATTTAAGAAGGATCTGTTTAATAGTAATACAAATTTTGGGCCATTTAAAAAAAAACTCGTGTTGAAGTGCATCAAAGTAATTATATTACAAAATATTTAGATTACAGCATAAACTTATTTATTAAATTAATGTTTTTTAATGCTGACATGTTTGACAATTGATAAATTATTCCTCAATTCAAAACATATCTATTTTATTTTATCTCTCCTATCTAGGTACCTTTCTACTCCGATATTTTTTATTTTATTAAATTATTCATTTAATGCTAGACATCTTAAATTTTTTTCTTAAAATCAAACTATATTGTTTTAAAACTGATTAAATAATATATTTATTTCTTGGCGGATTAAAAAGTACAATGTTACTTTCTTTAACTGGAACTACACAAACAGAGTATCTTATTTATCTTTTTCACTTGGGAACTCTTTATTATTTGTATGATCTTTATGATTTGTTATTTTGTAAACACAAAAAAAAAATTGTATTTAATATTTTCACCTCGCCTGAGATTCGCTTGAAATTTCAATTTCAGTTGGTAGCGTGGAATCACTTGTACTTTTCCTGTCGAGCGACGCGCTTTGATTAACACGGCTGCGTTGCAAGCTCGGCTTTTATATCGCTTTTCAGCAAATTTTCCGCAATTGGCCACTGGCTGCTGCAATTTTGGCCAATGTAAAACACGTCAGCATTTTGCTGCCACTTCTCTGGAAGCATATTTGTGCGCGGCATTGTTGCGTGTGTCAGCCTGCTCTTGTTGCATGTTGCATGTTGCTGCTGGCTAGTTGATAGTTGCTGGTTGCTAGTTGCTAGTTGCCGCCGTGCCGCTTTTGGCCACGCTTCAAGTTCAAGTTTATGGGTATCGATAGCACGCGCATCACAACAGCAACAGCTTTGGTTTCGTTTTCGATCGACGACTACTTGCCTTTTGCTTTTTTTTTTTTGTGGATCCGCGCTGGGTTCCGTCTTCCGAATCACCAGGCGGGGGGGCGTGGCACTTTTTGGATCTCGGAGGCAGTATCCCGTCCTCTTCCGCATTGCCATATTACAGGCACATGGCTACGGTTAAACTTGTTTTCTTTGGGGCTGCAAGCGTTTTTTTCCAGTTACCTGTCGCAAATCGTCAGTTGTTTGGCAGTTTCCAGTTGGTTTTACTGGTTCAATTCGATAGCAACCATGGGACTGCAACTCCAAGTTCAGTGATTTATAATTTCCATTACCAAACGCTAAGCGTGGTTAATAAGCCCTGTCTTCAGCATATCATGATTTTGCCCCTAATAAAAGAGCCGCATCTTTAAACACCTTAATATAAATAAAAAATATAAATAAAATAAGCATGTGTTAATAAATTAGGTTGTCAGGAATACTTTGCCCAATATCCAATAGGAAATCATATTTGATTAGCCGAGTTAGTTCGCTAGGTAAAATAACCTGGCTTTAAAAAAATATGTTATTTTGAATGCATATAATTAAAGCAATAAAGAAACAAAACGTTTTGAGAAATGTTAATTTAAAATCGGAATCCAATGAGTCAAGCCTTGGGGTTAGTTTACTTTTCTGCAGACTATCAAAAACTTAGAAAATAAAGACTTTCAAATCGATGTCTAAATTTAGGGCTTCTAGACGTACAGCTTTTGGTCTCCTTTCTGAAAAGTTAATACTTTTAATATCCACTCCTTGAAAATCAGCTATAAACCCACTTCAAATTTAAATTATTTGCCCACTGTGCCCAGTAAAACGCTTTTAGCATCGCTTAACCCATTAATTTAGCTATTGACTCGAGTTCAAAGTGATATTTGCTTGCTGGGAGTTGGATGAATGGTCACTTCCGATTCAGGTGGCGAAGCTCTGGATGCTTTCGTGTCTTTGCGCGGGTACAGTAGAGCCTGGCTGGAGTGGACCAAAGACCAGCGAGGAACAGTGCCGATTGAGAGAGCGTCGCCAGTCGAGCAGGCCGCACTTAAGCTTCTGTGGCAATGCGGTGGCCCAGAGTGTCAGCCACAGGAGACCGGCGCCAATGAGGCCGGTGGTGAGGCCCAGTGTCCAGTACTCGCAGGCCACGAAGGTCTGCTCCTCCTCGACGGCCAGAGCCTGGAGGACGCCCACAATGGCGCACTGGCACAGAGACTCTATGCGATGCCACAGCTTGGTCAGGGTCACATCGAGCACCAGGCAGCACACGCCCGTTTCCAGGCAGAGCGCGGCCCAGGAGGTCGTTGACCGATGTTCGCGTCTGCCCCTCAAATGGGACTGGTTTTGAGCCTGGGCACTGGGAAGGATCCTCACCGCCTGCAGCAGGGCCAGCACGCAGGCCGAAAATAGCCAGGCGCCCAAGAGGGGCGCACTGCATTCGGGTGATTTGCGGAAGTAGTAGTAGTACGAGATGCCCAGCACCGAGTGGATCACCACCGCCATGCCCAAAGCCGTAAGTCCAGCCATTTCAACAGGGGGTCACCTTCGTTTCCAACAGTCCACAATTCAACTTCCAGGAGTCGGGCCGAAAAACCTTTTTGAATTCCGAAACTAGACTGACTTTTTAGACCTTAAACCAGGGACCGAAAATGTGTTTTCTTTTATTAAATTTGAAGCAAAAATCAACTCTATAAAAAATTCTTGAAAAAGAAACCGTTTGAACCCAACAATTTCTTATAAGTTCAAAAAATATTTTTTTTATTTTTATGGGGTTACCTTCGTTCTTAAATCCACAGTAGGAGTCGAGTTGAAAAACCTTTTGAGTATCGAAACTAAACCAATGTTTTCTATAAACATTTTAAACTTTTTTACTTAAACGTAAATGGCTGAGTTCTAATCTTAGTTTTTGTTAAGTTAAGCTTAAAGAAATGATAAAAATAAACTGGCATATAAGAATCTCACTTAATTTTTGGGATACCTAAATTAATCACAGCTGTAACAATTTATTTATTGATCTAATACATAGTTTATGACATCAAAATTCTGCTCTATGTTTAGATTGTTCTGAATATCTTCATATTCCATTCGTTTGACTGTAGTATTCCTCTTTGTGCAATCGCAGTCACTGTCCGCGTCACAGTTGGAGGAATCACAGTTAAGGCGGCAATTATGGCCACAAGTCAAACTGGCTTCGATGTCAAGGCCTCGTTTTCCTCATTTCCAGTGGGCTCATTACGTGAGGCAAGTGGAAATGGGGAAATGCACTCAAAAGTGGTCAGCTTACTTTCATTTTTCTTTGGACATCAGAGCTTTGTTTTCAAGCTTTTGGAGTTTTATATTGTTTAATGCCGAGCTAACATTAAAGCTTTACTAAATCTGTAAGACCTGTAATATATATTGGGCTAAATTTGAGATAAAAGTTTTACTGCAAAGAATTAAGTTATTATTGAGTTCGATTCATAAATAGTAACCCTCGAAAAATCATTTGAATAATGTGTGCAAATGACTTTTAAAACATGCATTTAGTTAAAGCCATAAAAGCTTTAAAACAACAGACAAAGAAACAACTTCATTGCCACGATTTCGTTGGCATACTTTGAGGAGCCAACACTCTGAGCTGCAAATGATTCCATAATCCTTGGATGCACTTGCTCTCCTCTCCTCTCCACCGCTCGAGATGACAACCCAATCCTGCTCCGCTTGCTCTGTCAGCAAAGTCATAAATCTTCGACTCGCCGACTGAACTTGATACATCAAAATGTTGGTCAAATTAAATTTCTTGGGCCCCGCCCTGCATTTTCGACGATTTTCCTTGAGTTTTCCCTGGGAGCAGCTGCCAAGTAATTCGTCAAGCTGCTTTCTTCTCCTCCAGCGGCTGTGTGTTCCTTCAGCCTTATCTCATCTTCTTCTGGGTGAGCATTGTTGCTCCAACTTCAGCTCCTTTTTGCTGTCCAACTGTCTGTCTCCACCACCTACTTTTCACCCCCTGTTCACCCCCCTTTTTCACCCTCTTTTGGCTGGCTTTCATGTCAACTGCATTTTTCTTTTGCTGTATTGCTTGTTGTGTGCGCTTTTTCACTGCTTTAAACCACCTAATGGGTTTTTTTTTATGCAGACCTGGCTTAGACGGAAAAGCGCAAGGGGTGAGGCTGTGGAAAATGGAAAATGTAGAGCGGAGAGTGGGCGGTGGTGCCTTGGGGGCTATTCATGCTGCAGCTTTCTTGCAGCTTCATTCACAAAGACTTGCAATTCATCAAATCTCGTTAGCCTCGGCTTTTATAGAAAATCTGCAGCTGCTTTTGCTTCTGCTTTTATTTTCGGGATAGCCACCCTTCTACTACTACTCGCATTCAGCTGCCACGCCCACAGACACCGAGTGGGCGTGGTGGCCACAGCACCGATTTCGCAGCCGTTTCTCCATTTTGCCATTTTGCAAAGCACCCAACACGCCTCGGCATCATTGACTGGCACAAAGTCTTTAAGGCAACTTTTGCTTCGCTCTTATGCGCTTAACTTTAAGGGCTTTCGCCCCCCACCTGAGTTGAGCTGAGCTTCTTCTCCTTTGAGCTAATGAACGTGTGTGTCTCCTGAAATGAAGTGGAATCCTTGCAGCTGCTCTGCTCTGCTCTGCTCCGCTGTCCTAAACGAAACTAAGCCAAAGACCTGAAAAGGAACTACAATGAACGAGCTGCTGACTCAATGCATTTTAAATGCCACCCAACAACCATGTACACTAAATGCATCTAAGATCGAATGGTGTTCTTCAGGTTTAGTTGCCTCATAAAATTTGCAAGTTGCCACCAGTTTCATGTGTTGTAAAGTATATTACGTTAGGAAAATTCCGTTGACCAACACTTGTTAAAAGTAAAACAAATACTACTAATTAGTTTTTAACTATAAGCATATACTATGTATTAAGTATTGCGAATAAAAAAAGGACTTATAAGGGTAAATATATTTCCAAGAAACTTAACTGAAGAATCAAACTTGTTAAGGCTAAGTGGACTCAGCTCCACCCTTGAACAACACTGTTTTGCCAACTGTCCAACTCTCTCTTTCTCAGTCAGTGTTGGACAGGTCGTGCTGTCGATGCCAAGTGTTGGCAGAGCATTTGGTAAGCACTTTGGCTAAGTGGGTGCCGGCCAACCCAGCCATTTCTCGCCCGATTGAGCAGCTGCTCCTGGGGGCACCCGCTTTTCACCTCCGAAATCCCACTTCAGCCTGCTGGGCGCTCCTTCATTTGCTGCCTCCTGGCAAAGTGCCCCATATCACGCACTGGCAAACATTGCAGGGACCCCAAATGCATTCAATTAACAATTTCCCCGGCTCTCTTAGTCCTGGGCATAAAACTTTGCTGGCTGCTGGCTGCTGACTGCTCGGATGGTAAACTGGGAGCAGGAGGCGTCGGTGGCTTTTAATCAAAAACTTGCATTTGCCAAGTGGCAGAGCAACTTTTTGGGCCAAGTTTTGTGCGGCGCCAGAAGTGGGTAAAGTAAAGTTCTCCAAATTGTGACGTCGACAAAAGTCAAATCGTGCCGACTTGCAGCACCCTGAAGTCCTCACACGTTTCACTACGCTACACGATTGCAATCAGGGGTACATGTTTTGGTATATAAACTGTAATGATACCCTGTGAAATGGTGTATCTTTGAAATTACAGCAGGAAAATCGAATGCCATTTTATAAAAACAAATTTTGCGAAAGGAAATAACAGATCATCTCCTTCTAGTTAATGAAGAAATCTAGAAACTAGTAAAAAAAAATTGGATTTATTCCTAAAAAATTTAGGAATTTAGGAAATAATTTGATAAGTCCTTTATTTTAATGAAGCTAAGATTCTAAAAAATTCTTAAGTAGATATGGATTTATAATACTCTCTTATTGTTTTTTTGTTTTACAATTAATTTAAAATCTAGTGAAAAGAATGTGAAATACCCAATAAGACTTAAATTCAATTCAATTCATTAATTTTTAAAAATATTTTATTATATGCAAAATAAATCAAAATTTCCTAACCACCCGGATTATTTTAAGTCCAACCACAATTCGATACTTCTTCGTGGCAGGAACAATTCCAGACGATGTCAGTCAGCTAGTGAATGCCGTAAATTGCCATTACTCTGGGAAAATTCAAAGCGTTGCCGAGAAAAGAGCGAAACCAAAGCCAAACACATCCGAATGCCAAATGGATGGAGCTCCACCTTCAGGCCATCCCCATGCCCATCCCCGTGCCCATCCCCGTGCCCCATTTGCCATTTTCTCTTCCTCTGTTTACCTTGCTCATTCCAAAAAGGACGTGTTTGCAGGACGAAGAAAAGGAGGAGTGGCTCTTGCCATTTAGCAAAAGTAATTAAGCGTCGATGCGTTTCATTTGTGTTACTTTTCTGGGCAATTACAGCGGAAAGTTTGCAGTTTTTCAGTACCATAGTGTGGTGCGGCGTAAAATGTTCCATGTTAATTGTAGACCCCCCGATAGATAGATAGAGTGGTGAAAAAGTTTCCATCTGCTCCCGAGAATCGATCCCTAAATGTATGGATAGTTTGTGTTGTGCGTCATATGGAGCAACAGGTGAGCGGCGTCCTGTACTGTCCCGACTGCCCATTGTCATTTGCCATCTGCCATTATCATTATGGACATACAGTTGGGGTCAAAATAATAGTGGTCTTCTAGCTTGTGCAAATAGCAATCAAAAATATTTTGTAAACAATTTTGAAAAAAAAAAAAAACAAAAAAAATCCCCATATATGTTATGTATTATAGGTATATTCTTGAAAAATTAAAAAAAATAAATTATAAAAACAATGGATTAATTATTGACTGCATAAAACAAATCCTTTATCCTTTCAGATATATTGTTACTTTTTTTTTAAATAATTATAAAATAATTTACTACAGTATATTGAAAAATGCATTTTAAGGCTGAATAAACAGATTTTTTAATCATTCAAAAACTATAACTTTATTGAAAAATTTAAACCTAATTTTAAACTTTTGGGTATGAAACATTTTTCAACAAGACGTTTATCAAGTTAATACCACGAAAGTATTATAATAAAACGTATGTGTTTTAAAAGTAGTTTATTTTTAAGACACACTTATTAAAAATGTTTTAATATCGTGTGTAGTTTATTTTGAAGACACATTTATTAAAACTCAACTTTCAGTTTTTTTTGGGTATATGCCTTATTACTACCACTACCATTATTTTGACCGCAGCTGTTCTCATCATCGTTGTCGTTCGGGGCAGCAATTTACCAACTTCCGGGAATCCCTCTGGCCACTGCAGTGTGCAAAAAGTGTTTCTCATTAAAAAGTTGTTTCACAATTTTATTATCCGGTCGCTGCCGCCGCGGTAGTGCAGTGGCAGTGGTAGTGGTAGTAGAAGTGGAAGTCATGCTCATCTTCGTCCTTCAGGTGCTGGCTCATTGTCACGAGCTAAGCTTTTAACCGGGGTGACAATGTCAATAAAGCAAACTTCGCACCCGACCAAAAGCCCTGTGGCACGCGGCACGAGTCACCCCCTCATAAAATTATTTTTAAATTACTTGTAAAAATAACAGCAGCAACAGCAGCAGCAGGAAAAAGTTCAAATAAAAGTGGGTATACATATATAAAAATAACAGCGAAAAACAAAACAAAAGCGCTTACGATGCTCAGGGGAAAACCGGAATTATCGTTGCATAGTTTGGCGAAAACAATTTTCACAGAAATTAAGCTTTCTGAAGTTTTTCTCCAGCAACTAAAAGAGTGGGATTTCGTGACCCACTCACCTCATGCATATTTGAGCGTTTCATTAGCAGAATCCCAAATGTGCAATGGCTTTGGTTCCTAAGGTGAAGCTGAGGTGTCCTCAACAAAATTCTGGTACGAGGGAAATGCGAAAAACGGGAGACATTAGATAAATGCGGGTTTGATTAAAAGTGACCTGTTTGGGTAATACCAAATAGTTATTGTTGTACTTTATATACATTTTTATCACGAGTAGAAAATATTATTTGGATTAGCAGTATTTTTATACCCATGCAGAACGTTTAGTAATTTCAGTAGAAGTTTGCAACGAAGGAAAGGGAGTTTGCCAACAATATAAAGTATATATATATTCTAGAAGAGTCGTTCTAGCCATGTCCGTCCGTCCGTTTGTCCGTCCGTTCGTTGGCTTCTACCCACACTTGTCTGTCAGCTTTGAAGCTATCTGCATGAAACAACGACCTTCTATAACATATAATTATAAATCCCATCGAAATAACCCGAAGAAAAAAACAAAAAAAAATCATCATTGCTAGTAAGTGTTTTTAGCAATCGAAATTTAGTTTAATTTTTATAATGGCTGCAAGGGAATATTAATTTCGACTGGCCGAAGTGTGCTTGTGTTTCTTGTTAATATCTAACTCTGAGCTTATTCATTTGTTGGCAATCGATTAGCAACAACTGACACACATGTAAAGGGTAAATAATGATAAAAAACGAATAAAGTTTTTGAAGTGGGTAAACTCAATTCCAAGGAAACGAAAACTATATAAGTCAATCGAAAAAGTAAACAATGACAAAACCAAATAAAGATTATGGCTTTAATTCCGAAGCAAAGATTGTGGCGTTAATACCATAGAAAAATTAATATTTTTAAAAACAAGGTGTTTGGGGTTTTACTATCTTATAATCGATAGAAAGTAAACAATGATAAAAAATAAATAAATTATGATGGTGATTAATCCAAAACAAAAGAGTATATTTGCGAAACAACATCCTCAATTCTAACATTTCTTAAGATTCTAGTTTCTTAGTTAGACATAATAGTATATTAGTAATATCTTCTGTTTTCTGTCATCAATAGATCCGTTAAACTCTGACAAAATTAAATTTTAGTTAATGAAAAAATGTTTTTTCCCTTTTTTGTGACCAGCTCTATCAGTTTTACAGCCACCTACACTTTTCCGTAAAGGGGTTTTTACAACCCCCAACGTAATCGAACGTAATTCATTTATAATCAAATTTTTCCATTGGATTGGGCCCACTAAATTCGGTTGTTTGATAAAGCCAAAGCCTGTAACGCTGGCGGTCATAGAAACGCTGGTGGCCTGAAGGCGGTTATTATCATCGCAGTCGCAGCCACTCTGGCAGTGATTAGATTGCGTTTACCAGGTGCCGGGCATTGGCATGGGCATGGGCACGGGAATGGGAATGGGAATCTCTTTACGAAGTTGCCTCAGTACGCTTTCGAGCAGCATAATGTCAACAAGAGGTGCCTTTGCCCGCTTTGCAGTTTTGGTAACAGCGGCGGTCTTTGCACTGCTCCTCCTTTTGGGGGCATTACAGCGCACGGATGACCTGAAGCCCACCACTGCCTTGGGTAAATATGGAGGCAGTAGTGAAGTAGTGATGAGTGCAGGAGGAAAGGTAACCCCGCCACCTGTTCATCATTTGGAGGAGCCCATGAAAGAGGAGCTGGTGCGTCAGTTGGAGCAGGAATTGCCCGAGGTGAACTATGGTTTCTGGTACCATTGGGCCAAGCCCATGGGCTACAAGGCGAACAAAACATGTGCTCCATATCCCGATCCACTGGACTTGCAGCTGCACAACATTTACTGGCAAAGTTTTGTGAACTCGAATGTGACCTTTCGTTTGTATGCTGCCTATTTGGACAAGAGAAAACCGCTGAAATTGCCCACGGTTAGGATTTTGGCCACTGCCAATCAGATTGGCGACGCATTTCCGCCTACCCATTGCCAATTGTGGTTCGAGGGCTATCGAGAGCCTGTCTTCGTGGACGTTTCCGAATATCTCACTGTGTGGGTGAAGGCGTGGGGTTTTAAACGCAATCTAAACTACCCGCACTTGTTGAGTTGCCCCGTGCCCAGGCACCCGGCGGCGATGAATTCAATGCCGAAAACAGTTTCGTTGGTTGTCAAACGTTGCGATAGGGCCAGTAACTCCCTGAGGGTTAACCATGCAGAGCCACCTTTGACCTCTCAGAATGCCACACACACACCCAAGGATCAAAATGCAACCCTGAACTTTGGAGTCTGCGTCAAGGGTTTCGACTTTCCCTATTTGGATCTATCTGAACGATTGATCGAGTGGTTCGAGTTGCAGAGATTATTGGGTGCCTCGAGGATATATGCCTATATGTACGATGTGCATCCGGCGGTTCAGCGCGTTCTGGACTATTACCAGCGGACGGGATTCCTGGAGCTGCGACCTTTGACCCTGGCCAACGGAATGCCCCGGCTGAGGCACTACCAACACATGTTGCTGCAACAGCGAAAGCTGGAGAAGCGGCTCAACGAGCTGATACCCTACAATGATTGCTTCTACAGAAACCTGGATCGTCACGATTATCTGGTTAACGTGGACGTGGATGAGGTGATAATGCCCAAGGGTGAGAATCGCAATTGGCATCAGTTGGTGCAAAAGGCGCATGCCATGGAGACTGAGAAGGGCGGCACATGTGCCGGTCGCTTTCCCGCACTGTGCTTCAGAAACTCCTACTTCACCAAAGTGGTGGCCGAGTTGAGCAATCACGAGGAGCAGGCCACTGCCGGCGAGCTGTTTGTGCTGCAGCATACGCAGCGATTTAAGAACTACTCCCTGCCCGGCAGAGCCACCAAGTGTTTCCACAATTCGCGACTTTCGTTGACACTACACAATCACTTTACGCTTAAGTGGCTACCCGGTGGCTGTAATCCGCGCACCCTCGAAATTTCGGTGGCCCAAATGCAGCACTATCGCGAACCGGATGGGAAATATAACCTAACCGATCTGGTGGAGGATCGAACTGTGTGGAAGTTTGCCGGGGAACTGCGCGCCGCTGTGGAGTATGTGTGGCTCCATCTGGACGATGTGCTGCTGGCCCAGTTTAGCGATCCCGAGGAGCAGCAGCAGTTGGAGGACTCGCTCGACCAGGACGGCGAAGAGCTGGAGCGGGAGCAACAGCCGCTCCAGCAAGTCGTCCAGGTTCCAGCGTTGCCCGTACGTTAGTTTTAGTTTTGGTGATAGTATTTATTTGTGTTCGGTACTTGATGGTTTCTGGGCTGCAACGTCCTTTCCTTAATATGTTTGTCCGTCTGATAATAAGTTTTTCAGCTGGGGGTATATGGTAACATAGGTAGGCTATGTGATGCTGATCACTCCAAGTCAAACCCACAACAATTACGTTGAGCTTTATTGTTACATCGCCAATCCAAATGAAGTTTGCTTTTAATATTTTTTCCAAACCAAAAACATTTCAAGTGTGATAAGTGTGTACTTTTTATTGTTTAATTGTGTTGATAAAGGCACTGTCATGTGACAATTTTGATACTGAACTGATCTATAGTTTGTTTGTCCGTCTGATTTGAACATTTGTATATGCACATTTTCAGGAAAGTGTTCAATTTTCATTCATTCATATATATCTAAAAACAACCATAAACAATAAGATATTTTCGGAAAAGTTTACGCTCTATCAACCCCACACTCAGATGCCTACCTATTCATTTTAATTAGAATATTGACTCACGAAACCAAAGGAGTATTGGGCATTTGATAGTCGAAAAACCGACTATATACATTTTTTTTTGTTTATTTATTATTTGTGACAAATATACTCAGTATGTTTAAAAGTGAGCAGAGCTGTGTTTGTCACTTAAAGCCTGCAAATGCAAAAAAAAAAAAAAAAAAAAAAAAAAAACTTATCCATCCATCGTACTTCAGAAGTTCAGAGAGTAGTTTTTCTCAGCTGCAGTGATAAGCATGGAATTTGCAGTGATTGATTGTTCTCGGACTTCAAAAAATCTTATCTACGGGGGAAGTGGAATCGAATCGTCACATCTGCGTCACTCCGCGAATCTTTCGAAAGTTTCATGGGTGTACACCATCTCATTAACTCCGAACACAGTTCATTAAGGCAGGTAAAACAATATGGACAAAGTCACAGAGCGGAAATTGGATTCCAGTGTGGGTTATTCCCGGGACCTGGAAACAGCACTGCCTAAGTTTGTATATAAAATTAAGGTCAATTCTATGGCACGCATAAAATTGATTGATAAGCGGATAATAGTGAAATAATAAAGTCAAATTATTATCTAATTGCAACGTAACATTCCAATATTCATCGATTATTTTACAATTTTAATTAAGAACTCTACAATCAGAGTATCCATGCACCCAGAGCTCTTTCTTCGGTTATATAGAGTATATTGATTTCTGTCATATATGTATGTAGCCCTCTCACAGTCGAAGCTAATCAAAAAAAAATTGCCCATAGCTGACGTACGAATTCGGTATATCAGATATCAGCTTTGCAGATACGAATACGCGAATATGATAGTCACGGAAGAACCTGTGAAAAATATTCCAGATACAGTGGCCGTAGAATTGCCCAATTTCGTCAAGTAAACCCAGTCATTACTCATGATAAGCCTTTCGTTTATGTTGCTGTTTATACTGTTGCTCTGCAAGCTTATCAAGCTCTGATATCTGAGTTTGGTTTTAGTGGTTTTATTAGTGGGTGAGAATGAGAACTGTTCTGACTTCAACCCACTACCCACTTCACAGGGAGCAAAATGGCTTATCTAGTTCAAATATATTACTATCAAAGAGATATCGTAATTTTTATGTTTTGTTTTGTAGTTCTAATTATAAAATTATTATTTTTTTTTTTTTAAATTTAACATGTTTTATTTTTTTAATGATTTAAAAACCCGGAAATTATAAAACTTTTATTTTGAGTCAGGAAAATTATGTCAGACGAATCCAGATTTAAAAATTAATAAAAGGTTGCTTCGAAATAAACCAGTTGGATCGATGAATATCAATTTATCAACACTAAAGTTCCTTATTGATAATCAAATTCAATTAAAAATTAACGGAATACTAAATTTGCAATTTTAAATTTCTCCAGTGTGCATTTTTCGGATATATTGAAAGTTAGCCCAAGAGTATGCCACGATCTGTGGCTCGAGGCTTACGTTCGTATAAAAAAGGGGGCAAGGGTAGAGTTTTACTCCTATCTGCTTGACATTCATCGATCAAAGTCTTGGGCAAATATATTGAGTCAATATACTGAGTCATTTTTGTTGTTATAAATGCGTACTATGACTTCCCGATACAATTTTTAAGACAATAAATATATATGTACAAACATATGTAGGATTATCATACGTAGACTTTGCTTCAATAAGTTATTTATATACCAGATAAAAATATATATCTTTAGATTAAGATCGATAAAAAATATAATTTTGTATGTAATGTGTTATCTTACATTTTTTGAGTCGACAACGAAGCAAAAGAATTCCCTAGAAAAAAGGTTAATCAGCATCAAAAAAGAACCGAGACATTACATTTTCCACATTTTTTTTTTACGACTTCCTCGACTTTTAAACAAAACCCCATATAATACATCATATTTATAACCCTCCAATTCCGACTGGACAACCTTTGTTCTGGTTGGGCCTTGGACATTTCATTCGTCGTAGTATTTCTCATTTATTATAAGCAATTCCTTAGGACACATTAAATTTTATGGTACCGATACTCAATACTCACTCTACTACACACACAAACAAACAAAAAAAAAAACATCGTTATCGCTATCATCGAAAAAAAAAGAAACCTAAAGAGTTTTTTGGCGTTCAGGGGCGCATCAGGAGCATAGTGGCGCCCAAAAGAGGGCCAGCAATGGAATATGCGAGTCCGGTGGCAGTATTGTTTGATTTTAGGGTTGCGTCCATCAGGATCGGTTTCTCGTTGGCATGGGCCTGCATCCAAGCCTGGCAGTCGGTTTCGTTCTTCACGAACCGGAAGATAGACTGGACGATATTGGCTGGAGTGATCTCGGAACAGCGCTCCAAATGATGGAGGACACACACCTCGAAGCGCTGCAAGTCCACACAGTGGGTGGGCGAGAATAGTAGCTCCGGGCTGCTCATAAGACTGGGAACTTGTCCGTCCTTGGGAATATACTGATGGAATGATTGATTCAGGCAATTGTTAATGGCCTCCTTGTTGGCGTCCAGGCATTCAGGTCCCTGTTCGGCAACGAAGAGGGCAATCTGATCGCCACCGCGGTCACAAGCGAATCCCAGGAGGGCACCGCCGATTCTGGTGATCGTCTCCTGGTGACGCTTCTCTTCGGCGGTCAAACAATGCTGGGCCTTCTCGTTGAACTCCTTGACGCAGGCCTCCGCCTCCGGGGCCTTCAGGCAGTACTTATGGAACACGGAGTCCAGCTCGCCCTGCGGCCTCGCCAGGTCCATCTCCTCCTGCAGAGCGGTCAGATTGGCCACCCCGCTGATGCAGGCGCTCATCTTGGCCGCCGCCTTCTCGATCTCGTCGTAGAAGGTTGCGTTGTCCGCTCCATTCACCTTCTTGCACTTCTCGCGGTACATTCGCTTGATGTCATCTATAAAAAGAGAACGATATAGGCATATTAGTGAATTTATGATAATACAACTTGCTTACTCTTGTGAGAAAATCCTGGCTAGCCCTGCTTAAAAATCACCGCAGTTTGCAAGAACTTAGTTCATTATTGTTGGCTAAATATAATGAAAAAGCTGACAGAATAGCGAATCCCTTTGTAACTATGAAGATTTAAGTTTTGTTCTCGGATAAAAACAGATGTATATGCTGTTTGAAAGAGACAATTTCCTCAGTATCAGTACTAAAAATGCAGGAAATGTAATATTTTAAAACGACATGAGATTTATTACACCAGTTCTAGTGAACGGTTATGAAATAAAAGCCATACTTTTGACATTATTGCTCCGATCGACCAAAATTTGAATTTAGAGACAAACATTATTATAAACAATTACAAATGTATTTTTTATTTGAACGAGGCAATATGCAGACAAACGGAAATTAATAATATTGTTATTTAGTTGAAAGCTATCTTAAATGTTCGCCTAAAAAAGGGTGTAAATATAACCAGTTGCCGGTTATGTCACTCTCACTTCCCCAAAAACTCACCAACACTGACGTTTGTGTTGCGGTACTCCGGCGGTAAAAACTGAGCCGAGAGACCACCCAGCTGGCTGGGATCCAATTTGGCGGCGGTGGTCGCCGGTGTGGCCTTGACCTCCAGGAGCAGGGCACCCAGAGCGGCCAGCAGGCAGATGGCCAGCATCGCGTACTTGTTCATAATGCTGCTGTTGGTTTCTGTGTCTGTGGCTGGTGTTCGTCCAACCCGATCCGATCCGTCTGTAGATCCGTCTGTGGTTGCGCGGTGCTCGCGAGTGAATGAAAGCGACTTCTCCCGGTCACAAAGCTCCAGAGCAGAGCAAACCGAAGCCAAGCGTCGATGACGCCACACAGTGGGTCGAAAGCTATTGACGGTTGACTAAAAACCAGAACAGTTCGGAGTCACCCCATCACTGGCAAAAAAAACCTAGTTAGTCCAGGCACTTCATACTCAATTTAAATATTTGTCGATTTTAAAAAAATTGTCAACTTAATTATAATGCATATAAAACTAATAGGATCCATTTTATATCTAAATGTTTTCACATGATTCACTTATTTTAATTTTAAATGATGCCATTAAATGTGGATTGTATTTAATATTGTGATTTTTATATTATATTTAAGTTAATTATACAATTTTTTTGCACTGTTCCCTTTTTTTATCTGTAATCTTTTTGGAAATGTCTTATCGACTATCTTATCTTTAGCAAACTAAGAATGCTTTTTGTTAAGCGAATGAGCAAATAATTTCTTGGATTGTGGGCTGATTAATAAATCTATATATACAAATGAATAATTTGCATTAGTCAACGTTACTCTCCTAATATCAAGCTCTTTATTTTCAATATTATTCGGGCTTACAATAAATACTTATTTAATAATAATAAAAGAGTCAGTTTCAATCTTTCTTTAAATAGTATGTATATTTATAAATATAATTATTAAAGTAAGTTGTAACTTTAGAGTGGTATTCAAGCAATTCTTTGTGACTCCAAATGTTAATTTTTATCTCTCTGTTTTATTACTTTTAATGAGTTGTTTTGTATATTTTAATAAATTTTTTTTTAAGAAAGTGAAATATTGTTTTTTAGTGATATTGGCCCACAGTGTTTTTTTTCTGGCTTTGTTCAACCAAACAACGCCAATGACATCATTCGCTCTTCAACCACTTATCTGTGAGAGAGCGAGAGAGCGCGAGAGTGAGAGAATTTGGATCAATATTCGCAGAGAAACGGGGAGTGTTGGCACAAAAAAAAGTATTTTCCTGCGTCTGCTGTTTCTTTTACCGGCAACAACAATTCGCAGAAAAACGTGGATGATTCACCAGCAGACGGCTAGTCGAACCCTCTCCAGTACCCATTATTACCCATTGCCGTAAAGTTAAGGTCGAAACGAGAATTACAAATGTGCCAAAATTTCCTGCCTCGATACTAGAACGCTTAATGTGTGTCCTCATATATAGTAGGTAGATAGCTTATCAACATATGGCTACTATTTATGTGCCTGCTATCTCAATTGTCGGCGTTCTTTGTTTCTTTTTTCGATTTTACCCCCTGTTTGTATAAAATGGGGTATATTGTTTGTCGCATTCTGCAGAAAAAAGTTCTCTAACTCTGCAAATACCAACAAAAAGAAAGATAATTTAGTTCTTATTATTGCGTCTTAAAAAAAAAGTATAAAAGTATTAGTATTAATTTAATAATAAGTATAAATTTAACATCTATAAGTTTTGGTCTAAAACTGTAGTCGAACCCTTATGTTTATGTCTTTTTTTTATACTTTCGTGGTATACCCAATAATTTAAAATTCAAGTAACAATAGTTTAGTTTCTATGACAATTTTTTTATGGGTAGTATTGCTTGAGTAGAAATATTATATCGAATGTTATGTAACTTTGAGGAAAAATTTTATGAGTTAATTACCAACCCATTTGCATACAATATTTATATTACATTAGTCTTCCTTTTTTTTTAAATTTATTAATAAAAATTATTAAGAAAACCTGACTTCCTAGGTATCGGACAGTTGTAATTTCAATATGTTTGCGTTTGCAGTTGAGTCAACAATCTGTCACTGCACAGTAACAAAACAAGTCCCAGTCAGACGATTGAAAATTAAGAACAAAGCTTCGATGATCGGGAGACTTGAGACTAAGCTTAGCAGTTCCTCGATCGATTGCAAATGTGCATGGCACGACAATTCAGGTGTCTCTTTGTTTACGTCTCTCTTCTTTATTGTTTAAGCAATGGATTTCTTAATAATAATAATATTTCCACACTGAGTGCATGAGTATGATATGGACTTGTGTCGAAACCCCCACACTGATAAAAAAGTGGAAAAGGAAAAATAAATATCTTACTTCAATAGTAATCAAAATTGTATGATAAATATTAAATACAATGCATATTAAATCGCATGATTTAATATTAAAATATTTTAATTAACGTGGAGAACATTATACTGAACATAATATCTGCATTTTATTTAAGTTAAATATGGTTTGAGTTTCAATTAAATTTTCTTATTTAAATAAAAAATGTTGATAATTTCATATTTAAAATAACTAAAAATATTTAAGTTGAGAACAGAATATTTAGATTTACTAGTTTTTTTTTTTAACAGTGCCGTGCAGTGTACAACGATTCTGTGTTATGAAAGATGCTCTTGGTCTCGACTTTGGGACTAAACTAATTTTAATTACTCACTTGCTTCAATGCTGGTGTGGGGCAATTCGACTTAAACTATCGTAGCGCGTACATGAAACCGGTTCACATAACGATTCCCACCGAACAAAGTGGGCAAAGTTCAGCAAACTGCGACGTAACACTACCGATAAGCTCTTAGCGATCCCGACCATGAATGAAATACACGTTCGGTTATTGTTTTTTGAGTATATAACAAAAACGAGGGACTTGTGTTCGTACTCACCACTGCACTACAAACTAATTTTTAAAACTAGAACTCATTTTGTTTTCCACATACTTAGTATGGGTTTTAACTTCTTTAAAGATGGTTAAATGACGAACTGATAAGAAGAAACAGAAATTATCAACTGAAAAGACCTTAAAGTATGCCAAGATATCTAACTTTGTATAAATAAAAGTAACTTATAAAAATACTGTATACTTCTGAGAGCTTTTTGCCAAATGTAAAGAAAGGGTTAAAAAACTACACTGATTAAAAGTCAAGTAAAAATATCTTACTATTGAGTTCAAATTTTATATAGAACATATAAATTAAATATTAAGCAATTATATTAAATACCATGCATATTAAAATGAATGATTAAATATTAATATATTTTAATTTATGTGCAAATATTAGACTTAAATTTACGGTTTAAATTTTTATTAAATTTTCAAATATAAAAATAAATTCCGAAAATAGTCCGATGAAAAGTTTTAATTTTTTTTATTAAATTCATTTTTAAAATAGCTTAAAATCGCAATGAATGAAAACCGATAAATGTTTAATTAACAGAAAAACATGGTTATGAAGATATTGGGATATCAGACATTAATGAGTCATGAAAAAAGGAAGTTTTAAAAAAGAGTGATTGATTTAAATGGAAAACCTGTAAGTGGATCGAATGCGCAAAAGAGGATAGAGCTGTAATGATGGACAATCATAATCATTGGGGCTGGCATTACTGGCATTTCAATATTCCGCATACGCCGAGTTGGCGGATGAGCTCCTTATAAAGCCAAACAAATGAGCTGACCCCTCCTCTTTCATTTCTCCTCTCTGGGAGCTTTGTTCCTTTACCAATCCGGTTAGCAATTTGTGGCAACTGCACACACACACTCTTCCAGACTTCCACCCACGCAAATGAACGCTAGTGAATGGATCTGCAGCTGCTCCGCCCAGTTTTCCCTTCCTTTCTTTCCGACTGCCTTAATCAGACATCGTCAAGGACTCGCTGGGGGAAAGGAGAGCGGAGAGCTTGCTGTTTGCCTTGCTGGCTGCTTTATGAGCTTAGTCCGTGTGCTTTACTACCCAATTAAGCTAGGAAATACATTTAGCAAACTAATGAATTATAAACACACACACACACGCACGAACTGCTTGCACACGGACGAGAGGAAAACGCCGGGGAAAATCTGGAAAGCGTAGGGAACAGAGCTTCGTTCGACCTCCTGATGTCCCTATCCCGAATCTAGGATCCATTGATCTTTTATTTCAAATAATAAACCCTATTTCAAGCATTTAAACTACTTTACACTTTAAGGAATATTGAGCAAATTCAAATCGTTTTTGAATCACTTTAATGATAATGAGAATCGGAGCATCCCTAGCAAAGGGTTAGGAATTCCATTTACCAATGCATAGCTTTCCTTGTTGCCAACTAGTTAAATATTCCAGATTCCATACGGCACCAGTTAACTTTCCTCTTCGTTAGCTGCTGCTGCTGCCCCCAAAGTTGTGCCTTTTTCTCCGGAATCAAACATGCCACCACGCCATAGCCATAGCCATAGCCATAGCCATAGCTATGCTGTGCTGTGCTTGCAGCGCTGCTTGCTGTATCCTTTTAAATGAAATTAAGCTAATTTGGGAAACAGGCAGCGCGTCATCGTCGTCCTGGCCGAAATGGGGAATGGATATGGATACGGTGGAAATACGGCAACGGAACTTGTTCTCGCCGTGGAGTTTAATTCAATGCAGAAGAGGGAGGCCAACAAACACATGGGCACAAGCTCATGCATATGCAAGCCCTCTCACCCTCATCCATGGAAACAGAAAGAAATACTATGAAAAAATTATAAAAAGAATAATTATTTTCCAAAACAGTATTATAGCAATTAAAATAGTATTCATGTATTTTTTTTTTTTTTTTTTTTTTTTTTTGGGCGTTTGTATAGTATTATAATTTAAATAGTAGAAAAAGAAGCACTATTCTGAATTTTAGATTACCTATTTAAATAGGCAATCGTCGAATCTTTTTAAAAGTTTAGTAGTCCATTCGTCGTGAGTTTGATTGATTTTTGTTTTTTTTCTCTGTGTGCATGTGTGCAAATCACAGTTGTGTGTGTGAGCCATTTGCAACACATGCTGTTCACGTCTGCGATTCCCCTTACTTTTGGCTACTATTCTACCACCTGTCCGCCGTCTGTCCGTTTGGTCGGGTATTGTAATTTATTATCCTGCATGGCAAAAAGGATTTTCATCAATTAATCATGCTGATGATGCTTCTGCAGCTAGACAACGCTAACGCACAGATTCTGTCCGTTGTTGTTGTTGTTGTTGTTGTTGTCGCTGTTCGTGTCCGTCCACTGTCCGTTAGTTAGAATAAGAGCCAAAGTCCTCCCAAACTGCAATTCTCCTTTGAACAAAAGATTGAGGCCTGAATTATGGGCCACAAAACTGATAAATTAGTGCGAAATAAGTGGGCTAGGGTCAAGGTGGAAGGTGGAAGGCTGGCTGGCGGCGTCCTGGTCAAGAGGAGTCATCAAGGGACCCTTTCAGTCTGGTGAACTCGACTTTAAGGTCTGCACTTGAGGCACATAAATAGATTAATCAACATAAAATACAGCTTTGGTGCGCCTGGCACTAAATGCCTAATTCAATGTATTGAGTTTGAGTTGAAAACAAAACTAAATGTCTTCTAAGCCTATAAGTTATGTTAATTATTGGTTTCTATTTGTGTGTTTGTACTCCAAAATATCTTGTTATAGCTGAAATGCTTTTTATTTATTGTGTTTTTGACAAGTGAAATGAGCTTAGTTTTGATTTATTTTAAAATTCAACTCAATTTAAATAAGTCGCTTTGAGAATATGATTCTTCATAAAAAAAAACAAATATCAAATAAAAAATTGTATTAATTATGTCATTACAAGACAACTTATGGCACCACAAAAGTTTTGTTTTGATTTATCAAACTCAAGCTGACTTAAATAAGTCGTCATGTGACTTTGGTGCTTCATAAAAGGTACCTCTGCTTGAACTGATTATTCAAGATCTTAAAGCGGTTGGCCCACTCCCCACCGCAGGTGGCCTTGGCCTTACTGACTCGTTGCCAAAGCCCTGCGTGTGTGGTGTCCTTTCCTCCCGGATCGCATGTGCCATCCTGTCTGGGGTACCGTGATTTATGGAGTACGAGGCTAGCCAGTCAATGCACTCTGTGTGTGCAGGCATTTTAATTCGATGCCCGAGTAAATCTGCTTAAAGCACATGAATGGCCTTTTCATGGACGTTGTTTTCATCAATTATTCAAAGCCGGACTCTGCTCTAAGTAAAACCAAATTGATGCCTGACGGTCAAGTAACAACAGCCCAGCACCACACAGTAAAAACAAAGTCCGAGTCCATTTTTCGTATGGTTTATTATGCAAAATTTAATTTTAATAAACAAATAGGGCAAATGAAGGTGCAGCCAGGTCAGTTGGACCAACTGCAGTCGTTTGGCATTGCCTTTCAGGTCGAATGATTGATTGATTGATTGATTGACTCGACTGACTGACTGACGCACTGCAATTTTTGCTTTTCGATGTGGGTGGACCATAGCCTGCAGGACTATTTCTGCCTTGGCCCTGTTAAATTGTCTTATTATTTCCATTTACAGTTTTCAATTAGTGCAGTTAGATTGAGCAGAGCCCTTGTTTTCCAAAGAGCCTAATGCCATGCCACATGCATGTGGAGAGGTCAATGTTGGCATTCAAAGTAATTGAGATTTCTATATTGAGTAGTGTAAAGCTAGTGACAAGGGAGTTCTTGTTTTGACATTGAAGTAATAAAAGGAAAATTTATAACGTGTTTGCACAAATAGCTATTTGTTGTGGGAAAATAGTAACAGATTAGGTCAAAGTAATCTCTTAATCTCTGCAGTCGTCATTAACCACTTAGCAATTTTGAAAGGCGATTATTGCAAATGTAGAAAGTCTCAGAACGAAGACATTTAAAATGGATTTTAAAAGTACTTAAAGAAGTAATAAATGTTAAATTTATAACTTTTTTTTGAAGAAGAAGGAGAATATTACTTCAAAAAGTCTGCATAAACCACATAACATTTTTGAGAAGCTGGCACTTGTAGAGACCTTTTGTAACTATTATATTAAATCTGGTTTTTAAGTTCTTAAGAAGTTAACAATATAAAATGTGTGACATGTTTGCAGAAATAGCTATTTATTTTGTGAGAACAGTAGCATATCAGCTCAAAGTAATTGCTTGATCCTCAGAGTCTTAACATTTTTGAGAAGCGCATAGAGGGGTGCTTTTGTTTATGAAAATATGATATTAAAGAGGATTTTAATATCTCGCATCCAGCTGCTTAAGCTAACCCCTTGGCAGCTCTTTCCACGTGAAATAATTCAGCTCATTAAAGGCCACTCCAGTCATCTTCCCTTCTGAGTGGCTTGTTTTCAGTCAGCCACAGCATTTCTGATGCGGGGCGGCGGAGTTCCAGTTCGGGCCGGGTTAATTCGGGCCATAAATTTGCTGCTGTGTTGCTGGTTGTTGGTGGCTGGTTGCATGTTCCTGCGGCTCCTGGCTCCTTACTCTTTACGCCTTACTCCTTTCTACCAGGCCAACTAAGCCTCGCCTCGCTGATATAATGTGACACCAGCTGCTTAATGTTTTGGTTAAAAGCATTCTAAGTGAAATGCAACAGGGCGGAGACTCAAGCGCGTAGTTGTTGCAGTCGACTTTCACTAGCCGCAGGCAGTAAACAAAAGAAGAAGGAGCGGAGCTTCAAGGAGGAGTTCGTGGCTCAGGCTGGCAATTTGCTTAAGCGAGAGGTTGTGCCACATATGAGCCAAGAAACACAAGTTCTGGCCAAGACAGTGGGACATAAAGCCCATATATCTCACGAATGTCATGTTTATATTCTTCAAGTCGAAGTTATGGCTATTTTTATAATTGTTGGATATTTATATTATAAATAAGTTAATAAAGAATTTGGTGGTGTTCAAAACATTCAAGCGTTTTAATTATCGGTGCTCCTGATAACTTAAAAACTACTGCATTGATCGTTTTGATATTTGAAACACTATATTTGATAAATATTTTGATTTCTCAATAACAATTTAACGCTTTTTTTTTAAACTTTTTTCTATAAAATAAAGTAAAGTGGGCAAAGCAATTATTTATGTTATAACTGATATATTTTGATTTCAAATGATCCAGAACCTCTCTTTTTTTCATTTCTCTTTGAAAATAAAGCAGAATATTCTTTTAATGTCATATAATGTCAATGTGTCATTGGTTTTAAGAAATGAATTTAAATGTTTCATCAAAATTTGTTTTTTTCACGAATTAATAATTTTTCCATCATCAATTTCTTTTTATAAAAGCCTTAAATTTTCATTTATTTACAATTCAATTTTCTGAATTGTCGTTGTAAAAATTGACTCTACAAACGTGTAATTAATATCCGTGGGTTTGCCATTTTTAGACACTGTTGTAGACCGCAAAAGAAGTTTCGGCTGCCGCTTTTCTTTTGCCAGCGGCGGCTGTTGTGGCAACATCATCATCATTCATTTGCACCCAGGTGCGTTTTCGTGTGCACTCAGTACTTCGCCGTCACCCTGATTCTAAGTTTGGGTTTGGGCTTGGGTTTTTGGTTGCCGGTGTCTGTTGCACACCTTGCGGCAGGCAACCTTTCTGCGGCTCCTTGCAACGGTGCCACACACGTGAGTCGCCGTCGCCTCCTGCATGTTTGTTATTTGTTATTCTTAGAACTTGCGCCTTATTCCGCTCTGCTGGTTTTGTGTCTCTGTCTTGAGTTCTCCAGTTGCTGTCTCTGTATCTGTATCTGTTTTGGTTTCCGCCTCCTGTCGCCTGTTTTTGGGGCTTTGTCTGCGCGAAGTCTTATTTTAACGAAAAGCCGGGAGTTATTAACTTTAAAATTTTACACCATAAGAAATACATATTAAATATAAGAATAGTATATACATATAAATGTATAAATTTATCCGTCTGATCAGTACACATCCAAAAATTAAAAAAAAAAATTTGTTTGTTTTGCTTATTTTTAAGTCGATTATCAAGTGCACAAGGATGAGAGCATTAAAAGAAGGAAATCGACGAATTTCTTGTATGCTAACTTAAAACTTTAAGCGCGATTTTCTCGAAAAGCTAGTTTTGAATCGGTGACTAAAATAACATGAAAACTTTTGAGCCGATTTATATGAAATTTGGATGGTTCGATTCCTAAATCGTTGTTTTTTTGTTTCCAATGAAAAATTAAATTTTTATGTTTGGCCATTTTATAAAATATGCATATTTTTATAAATCCTTCAATTTAAGACAATATTATAGTTTTATTTCATTAAATATATTAAAATTTGTGGTTTTCTATTAATCAAATACTAAAACTTATGCTGTAAACATGTTTTAGATATTATATTTATCGTTTAAAACAGTTCAACATCATTCGTTGAAAAATATCTCTAAAATAGCTTTTTATTTTGCGCTGTAACTGGGGGTAACACCTTAAGTCGTCGGCTTAAATGAAAATTCATTTTTTAATTTGAAATATTCCTAACTCGATGTTCAACTGTATTGGCAAATAACTTCAGTTTACAATACTGTCTTATTTGTCTTGAAACAGTACTTTCGTAATACATACTTAACAAGTTTCCACCCGCAAGGTCACCGCACCAAGTCGACTCATAATGGAAACAGCTTTATTAAATATTTCGGCACCAGTTCAGAACAGGCGTCAAAGTCGCAGCGCAGTCGCAGCGCTGCCTGCAATACTTTTTGGAAATTTCTTTAGGTTTTGGACTCCGGTGGCTTTACGATTTTTTATATGGCGACTAGTCGAGGGCAGAAATGTCGACGAGCTACACGCGCCTATTTCGCGTCTTATTCGTGATTATATTCCTGAAGCTGCTCTTTCTTTTGGGCCTCTATTTCCACAGCTACGATGGCGTTTCTCGGTTTCCGAGGCGTCAGCAAGTGGATATCTTTGATGAGCTGCTAGTAGATCGACGGGCAGGTAGGAACCACTCTCTTTTTTGAAAGGATATTTTTGATGATAAAAAAATAAAGAAAAAAAATTCGGAACTAACAGCTAGATTTCCGTTCGTTAAGAATGTCGCCTCCTTGACAGCCTTTGATGCCCAATTTCCATTTTTAGAGCCCTCTTTGCAGCAGCGCTTGGGTTGGATTCGTGAGGAGATGCCCTCGTTTCCGCTGGAGGAACTGCTGGCTAGGGAAAATCGGCGATATCCTTTGGAGAACTGTGGACCCGCACCCGATCTGATGAACATTGATTTTCACAACACCTATTGGCAGAGGGCTATAAATGGTAAACTCACATACTATCTGTACGGAGCCTATTACGATGATCGGCAAGCAGTGCCAGAGGCGCCTTTAGTTCGTCTCTTGGCCATGGTAAATCAGCCCATGAACGACTCCTTCAAGTATCCCGAAATCTTTTGCCAATTTTGGTTCGATGGCAGGACCAAGCCAGTGATTGTACCCGTTTCGGAGCACAAGGTAATGTGGCCTTTTGGCCAAGCGCCTCGACGTTATTACCCAACATTCTTGAGCTGTCCCCTGCCCGAGGGTAGTGACAAATACCAGGTGCCCCAGATGGTTTCCTTAGTGGCCGACAAATGCAATATGGCCAGGAATCTGCTACGAGTGGTTTACGAAACGGAAGAGTCACCCCAGACAGTGGCCAAAAACGATACAACCTCGTCGACCAGTGATCCCAGATTTGTGGTATGTGTGAAGGCCATGGATTTTCCGTATGAGGATAAGTCATGGCGTTTGATTGAGTGGCTGGAATTGATGCGTCTGTTGGGCGCCCACAAAGTGGTGCTCTACGATGCCCAAATGCATGCGAATATGACGCGGGTGGTCAAGGACTATTTGGTCACGAGTCCTGGCTTTCTAGAGCTACGTCCCATGTCCTTGGGCAGGGGTGAACCGCATGCTCGACCCCATTTCCATCACTATGCCATGATGGCGGATGGTTTCAATCGAATACTGAACGAGATGATACCCTACAATGATTGTTTCTACCGCAACATGTACAAATACGACTATGTGGGTGTGTTCGATATTGATGAGGTGATAATGCCCCTCGGAAATCACACCACTTGGCCGGAATTGGTGAAGCTGGCCCGAGTTGTCCCAGACTATGAGAGTCGCACATCGGCGGATTGCACCGAATGGGTAAGCTTTTGTTTCCGCAACGTCTACTACCCGAGGTATCCGGAACGGCCGAAGGTCTATAGGAATCTGTCCAGCTCCTTCTATATGCTGCAACATGTGGAACGCGTGCGGGAGCATTGCAATCGAGGGGCGGCCGCCAAGTGTTTGCATGACACACGTTTTGCCGTCGGTTTGCATAATCATTTCACCTTTTTTCACACCGAGGAATCGGCATGTGCCGCCAAATCGGTGCCCATTGAGTTTGCCCAAATGCAACATTACCGGGAACCCGACACCAAATCCCTGCTGATCGATCCCATTGTGGATGCCAGTATCTGGCGATTTCAGCCCCAACTGCAGGCCAGAGTGGAAGAGCGATTCCGGAGATTGGGCTTCCTGCCCACCGATCAGCAGTTGGCCGAGACTCTGGAAAAGCGACGAAAACGGGATGAACAGCAGTTGAAGGAGGCAGTGGGTAAAATTTAAGGTTCTTTGGGCTCTAATAACCATGTATAAATTGTCATTTTGATAGAAAATAGACTCGTTAATTTGATAAGGTACAAAAAAAATCTTATTAAGCCAAATCGGCTTAAAATCTTAACATAAATATCAGCATCTGCTGGAATATCTTTTTTTTTTTTTAATTATTTGTTACCCATGCAGAAGTGAAAACTTCTGTAATTTCTTATTGAGGCAAATCGGCTCAAACTCTAATCATACATATTTTTTTATTTTCTTTTTATATTTAATTTAAGTAGAAAATGTACACCAAATAAACTATACACCACAATATAAGACAGCTAATAAGTGTACGTATCAGAAGCTTGAACAGAAATTGTTGGCACATTGATAATCAGGCTGACGTGACGCAAATTTTCATGCACGCAGTTGGGCAAACAGGGTTTCAAAAGTGGAACTATTTGTACAGAACTGGGGAAAATACGTTATGCAAACGTTCATATACTTAAATGCTAAAAACAATTCATGTTATTAAAAATATCAAACAAATAAAGGGGTGTCAATTGGCTTTTGGTAAAAGTTGGTCATGTGATGAAGGCAAAGAGTTTGGCTTTTGATAGCGTTCTTCAGGTGCTTTGTTGGAAGCAAACTTAATGCTGGTAGCCGCAAATAAATTCTAGTTTATATCATTTACTGGCACAGTTGTTATTGAAGTTGAGCACAATATTGGAAGGTGGATGCTAATTTAAGTAACAATTTTTTTTTCTTTAAGTTTACATTAACACTTTTTTATTGTATTGGACCAAAAAAAAAACAACCAATACCTAAATCTAAATATTATGATCAATATTGAAATATTTTTTTTTTTTTATTTATTTTAAAAATGTAAATAATAAAATTTTTGATTAGACTATTTTCGAATTTGATATAAAATATAAATTAATAATTGAACCATATTCAATTTAAATATGCATTCAAATTATATAGGAACTTTTTTAACTTAAATATATACTTTGCACATTTATTTAAATATTTTTATGTTAAATCATGCAATTTAATATGCATTGTACATAACATTATGATATAATATTTTATTTAAATATTAATTATACGATTTTGAATTCAATAGTCAGGTATTTAATTTCACATTTCCTCGTATAAGCTAGTTTCTACAGCAATTTCTTTACTTCAACTGTTAGTTTTCCTTGTGTTGCCACTGTTATTTTTGCATTTCTGTTGTTCGACCGAGCAAGTTGTGAGAAGTCCTGAAAGTTTGCCTCAGTTCGCCACGAACAGTTGGAGCTGCAAGTGGGCGGACTGTCACGCCTCCTGGCAATTTCCATTTTCATTTTTTTTTTTTTACTTTGCATATTTTTTTTTTAATTTTTATTATGCATATATATATATATATATATGTATATATATAATTTTTTTTTGCCTTTTCATGTGCGTGCAACTGTTAACAACTCATTAAATATTTGACATGATTTAGCAATTTTAAATGATAAATTCACCGCTCTCACACACGTTTGTTTTATGGTTCAATTTGTGTTGATGCGTTTTCATAATGCCCGATGTTTGCATTTGAGCTTTGAATGACTTTTTCACTGCGTTTTTGTTCACAAAATGCACAAAAATGCACATAAAATTTAATTTAATTTAATTTTCGCTCTGATATTGCAAACACTCATGCACCATTTATCCAGTTCTAATTAATTGCATTGCACAAGAACACAAAACGCAAAACATTCGAATGTGCAAACATGAACAAGTGTGTTGCATGGGCAAAAAAAAAAAAAACACGCACAGAGCTCTGAACTCTAGGCAAAAAAGCGACACAAGCTGAAAATTATTCATTATTATTTAGCCAAATGCAGAACTAATGATATGTGTGCAAACTGGCCAAAGTGTTGTTGGCATGCAAATTATGCGACGAAAGCCACTGAACCGGTGTTCAGTTCAGTTTTTTAATTAAATGTTTTAACACTAATCCAGCGACGGGCTGCGGGATTAGGAAACAAATTTGACCATCTGAGAGAGGTTCAAAGGCAAACAAAGCAGAACCGAGGACGAAGGAGAATGGAGAACGAAGGAGAACGGAAGCCAAGCGGAAGCGGAACCGGAAACGACAGGCAGCGACAATGGCGCCGCGTCACACAACTGTCACCGAAAATGCAGTCCAAATAATCAAACTGAGCGACTCGACCTTTGAGTTTCCTGCAAAAAAAAATGATCAAAATGGATTTACTACTCAAAAAAAAAATGTATAGTGAGAAAACTATTGTTACATGAGTTTTAAACTATTGGGTATGATCAATTTCTCAATAAGATGAGTATTAAATTAAAACCACGAAAGTATCAAAATAAATCTTATGTGGCTTAAAAATAGAGCCTTAGACTACAGTTTTAGACTTTTCGGTATAGAAATGAAATTATTAGGTATAGGTTATAATATTAAGTATTGAATTTATACTTATACTTTAATAATGTCTGTAGTTTTTTTATTCCGTCTGATCGTTTTTCCGTTTGTCCGTGTTTTAAAGGTTTCTGGTCGAAACTTTTGGAAACGTTTGCTTTTCATTGCAGATAGTATGCCATTTGGAACAGACCGGATCGGTCGTCTATATAATGAAGCGCCCATGGAAACAATCGAATTAATAAATTTGAAAAATAAATTTAATTTAATTTTAATTTAAAAATAAATTTGTTTTTCAAACTTTTCAAATATATTTGGAGACATAGTAATGATTTACTATTTCAGAACTACAGCTTCAATTGTATTAAAATTAAACAAATAAAATGATCGAAAAGTTCAATCAAAAATCGACATGGCTTCGCTATTTTTTAAACAAATACGCTTCATAGCTTGCCGATGTTTGTTTCATTTCTTGTTTGTTAGTTATTTATTTTTTAATTTACCCATATATATCAGATTTGTTATTTATCTGAACCAGTCCTTAGTAAGCTTAGAAATCTTTAACAGTTTTATACAACTTAGTTCTCAAAAAATTTGTGTGTTATATTCAAGTGCTAGGTCGGAAACCCATAAATTTGCCATTTACATTATTCGGATAAGGATGTACTTGGATATTTACTAAATATACAGTCAAAATTTTACAAAATCTGGCTCTGGAACAATAAACTCACTTTTTCCACAATAAAGTTACATAACTTACGGCATAGTATCTGTTTTAAGCGAGTGCCAATCAATGTAAGTTTTGAAACCTTTTTTTATTAAAAGGTATTGCTAATAAATACATGCATTAGTAATACATTACGTAGAAGCCATTGCTTTGTAATATTAAACGAAATGTATTTTTGCATTTTCTACCTGTCTCCCTCGACATTTCCCTATACCTTCTGGCTTTACCTCATGTCGCTTGTTGATCAGAGCTTGAATATCATTGGCGATTACACGAAATCCCCAAAATGATGCCGAAAGTTGGGTCAGTGGTGCAATTGAGTGGATCATAGGAAGTTCCCCACTTCCACATACCCATCTTTTTTAACCGAAATACAAGAATACCGAGGAACAAAGTTCAAACTAGCCAAACAAAACAGAACTGAACAAAACAAAACAAAACCAAACAAAACAGAGCTAAACAAAACACATACAACGCAACAGGGAGCTGGTCATGTTTTTTGTTAATTAAAATTGGCATAGCAGCATCCAGCAACCGAGGGGAAATACATACATAGCTGGGAACAGCATTTTTGCATTTTCATCAGTTTTTCCAGTTTCGGGGCAGCCGAACATTTGGACATTTGAACTGAGAACATTTCAACCAGCGGCGGCGACAGCTCACACAGGTCATAGGTCACAGGTCACAGGAAACGAAAAGCGAAAGAAAACCTTTGGCTTTCAACTGAATGACTGCCATTATTTTGCAGTGAGTGTGTGCGTGTGTGTGTGTGTGTGTGTGTGTGTGTGTGTGTGTGTGTGTGTATTTACCTTTAGAGTGCTTAATTTTTCAATGGACGACAAGCGATTTTGAGGGCGGAGTCCTCGATTTATGTGCTACCAATAAATTTACTCAACACTTTGGTCTAGCCCCCCCGCCTAATACAATATTTACATCAAATTGGTTGAGAGGAGCTGGGCGAAATAAAAAATTGCAATGCGTTTTTCTTAGCCAAGAATCGAGGAGAGCGAAACGGCTTAAAGTGCACTGAGAATATACATATGTATGTAAGTTAGTTGATAATATTTATTTGAAATTTAATGTGATTTATTTGAATCATTTTATAAGAGTTCATAATCAGAATTTATTTCTATAAAGAGTAAGCTGGTGATAATATTTGTGTTTTTAAATTTAATGTAATTTATTTGTATTATTGCTATTAAAAGTATACAAATTTGTACATGCAAGTGCATAGGATATTTTTAAATACTAAACAGAGTGGAATTAGATTCTGAATTTTTTTTGTTTTAAATCTTATGTGATTTATTTTTATTATTTTATAGGTTTTCAAATTCAGGGGAGTAAATATGTATGTATTTGTATTACCCCATAGAGATAAGTTAGAATACTTTTATACATTATTCAGTAAGAAAGAAATTAACTATTTTCATTTTCCTCAGTGCATTTTCGCTTCTTGTACTCTTTTCTGTTTCTGTTTCAGATTTGGCTTTGCTTTTTTTTTCTACCTCCCCCTGGACTGTCATTTAAGTTAAAAGCGCATTTGTAAATGTGGGGGATGAGTTCCCTGAGCGCCTTTTAAAAAAGGAAAATCTGGCACAATCTGCTCCACTCTCTTTGCTGTTTTTATTTTTTTATTTTTGTTAATGTTTCTTTTGGCATTTTTTTCATATGGTATCTGGATCTGAATGTTGTGTTTGGGGCCAAAACACAGATATTCCATTAAGCCCAAAATCGGGTCATCGAGAATGGCCATAAATCCATTGACCAAAACTAGGCCCGCTCTAATATTTTCATTGTTTTTAATTCCGATTCTGATTCTGTTTCCAATATCCGACTCTAATTCTTTTCATGCATTCACTCGAGATCGATTCGATTCAATTCCAATGTCTTTCATTTAAACTTATGGCAGCAAAAGCCAAATGAAAGTTTGCTCACTGGCTTTGGCTTGCTATTTTCCTTTGGCTCAATAACATTCGACACGAGCAAACAAAAAAATCTTTTCTTTATTCTGCTTTTGCTCTTTTAACTGGGTATAGTCGTATATTTAAAGAAATTTTCCTTTTGAGCTTATTTTATTTGGCATTTTATCAAAAAATCATTAAAAATATCTTAATAATCGGTGTGCTAGTCCGAAAAAATGTTCCAATATTTTGAACAGCAATTAAAACTATTTAATTAAATTTATTTAACAATTAAATGCCAATTAATTTATAAACTAATATATTTTAACTTAAAGCATAAACATTTGTCAAAATAAACTTAAAAATGATTTTCATCTATATGATTTTTAAGATTCCAAGCTCTTTATGGTGCTCACTTAGGCAAATTTGTTGCCAAGTCAAAAATTTACTCATAAAACAAATAACGTTTGTAAACTTTCAGCAAAAGTAAACCTTATGAAAAAATTCTTGTAAATGATTTGTATGTTAGTTTTTAAGATTTCTTACCCATTACTACTTTTGAGTTTCAGAATTTATCCTTTTTCGGTGCTGATTAAAGCGTCCAATTTTTGGTTTGGTGTGAGTTTGGTAATAAGTTTCCAAGGAGTAAGCTTAACTCAGCTCCTCTTCCTACGTCCAGGCTAATCAGAAATGCGTGATGTGTGTTAACCTACACTTGATTTTTTCCTTCTTTTTTTTTGGGGGGTGTCGCAGCACCCAATGCGAATCAACGGGTCCAAGGGTGTGTAAATATTGGTTTCTAAGGTCGGCAGCTTCAGCACACACGTTCCGTTGTCAGTGGAACTTGTCCGTTTTTCCGACTGTCCCTCCAAAAGTGAAATTTTCCCGAGCTACAGACAATTTTCAGCTCACGTTCGAAGAAGCTGCTGTGTCCACCTTTTTGCGTGGGAAGGGGAATTTTTGCGTGGTTGTCTCATTAGTATGGAGTTGGTAATGCATTGCGTAAGGGGTGAATGGCAAAGTTGGACTGCGGCTTAGTTAATCCCCATCAACGCTTGCAAAAAAAAAACATTAATCCAAGAATTTCAATTCAATTTAAATGTTTGACTTAACTTTTTCATCAATTGCGGTTTGTAGTTATTTTAAACAGAATATTTCATTTGATTATTTTCAGAAAAGATTTTATTATCTCAAAGTTTCATTAAAATTTGAACCATATTAAACCAAAATACAAAGTACAAATATATTGGATTTAATATTAAAATTTCATATTATTCTTATTATTTTTTATCTTATAATTTCAATATGACTTATACAATTTTGGAGTCAATGCCAGATATAGATTTTTATTTCTTGATTTTTTGTTATAAGTGTATATACAAATTAAGGCGGAAACTTTATCTAGTGTTCGATGCTATTGTATTTTTTACAAACAAGTTGGTGTTGAGTTTTCCTTTAAAGCGAGCTATACGAAAGGTTTTATTTTGAGGTTTTGCTTTTGTCGGGAACACAACACAAGTACAGTGCACAGACTTTTTTGGAAATAAAATAGACTAGAGTAGAGTAGAAGTGAGTATGCTAATTCCCAGCACAAACAATCTGCCATCTAACCCTGTAGATTTTTTTCGGATTCCCAGTTAAGCCGTCATGATTCCCAACAATTTTTACAAACTGAAGAACTTTGCCAATCCGAAAACGATGTTCAGAAACTACATCGACAAGGAAGAAAATCCTTCTTCTGTGGGTCTTCGTAAGGTAGAAGCTACTGTCGCCGCTGCTGCTGCAGTCCCTCAATCCAATGCTGCTTCGAAAAATGACACCAAGATGATTACAACACCGGCAGAATCTTCAAAAAAGGGAAAGAAGATGAACAAGAAGGGTAAGAAGAATCAGAAGCAGAATCAGGATCAGAATCGGGATCAGGATCAGAAGAATGTGCCTCGAACCCCCAGTGAGATGAGCAAAATCAGTGAAGGTCACACGGTTGCCAAGAAGAATGAAATTAAGAATGAAAATTCAGAGGACAAAAATGAGGTCAAAGAAAGGGACGTAGTTCAGGACAATGGCCAGGTGAAGAAAAGTGAGGTCCCGCAAGAGGAAAGTGTGCAAAAGAAAGTTACAGAGAAAAAGTTGAGCCCCGAGCAAATGTTATTAGAGAAAAATATCGAAAAGAAGTTGTCAGAGCAAAAGAAAAGCATGCTAAAACCAAGTAGTACCCATTACTCGAACCCAACAATCGAATCTAGTAGTCATTCTCCAACCGTTCAGCCGACAATTGAGAAGAACGAATGTCAGAATATTGTTGATGTTACTACTAATACGACTCTCACAGAGACAGGATCGCTGGAGAAGATGAAGCCACTAGAGAGCGATGTTAGCCAGTATGATGATGATGATTATCTGCCTGAAGAGATGGAGGCCAAGGGACCGCATCATCCGTTGAACAACTGCTGGACACTGTGGTATCTGGAGAACGATCGCACCAAAAGCTGGGAGGATATGCTTCACAAGGTCACAAGCTTCGACACCGTCGAGAATTTTTGGAGCCTGGTGACGCACATCAAGACGCCATCGGAACTGAAGCTGGGCAGCGACTATTGTCTGTTCAAGAAGGGCATTCGACCGATGTGGGAGGATGAGGCCAATGTCCGTGGCGGTCGTTGGGTCATCAGTGTGACCAAAACCGCCAAAAACGACCTGGACAACTTCTGGATGGACACGATGCTCTGTCTGATCGGCGAGGCCTGCGATAATTCGGACGAACTGTGCGGTGCCGTGGTCAATATTCGCAGCAAGACCAACAAGATTTCCATTTGGACGGCCGACGGGGAAAAGGAAGCGGCTGTCCTCGAGATTGGAAGCAAATTGCGCGAGGGTCTGCACATGGACAAGGCCTATGTGATGCAGTATGAGCTCCACAAGGACATCAAGGTCAAGCAGGGGTCAACCATCAAGAACACATATAACCTATAGCACCTCAAACCTCAAGCATCAGGTCAAGTTTTAGTTATTTTCAGTAATTTTTTTTACCCAAGAACACTAAATCACTAAACCTACTGTAATTTCCCAAAACATTCGGAACACATTCGATTATCCGCCGCTATACGTTGGCTAGAGATGTCAGTTGGATGGCAAAATTGCAGTCAAGTCGTCTTCCTCGTGCACGTTGTACATTTTAATTGTAACCTTGTTCTTGTAAAGCGTTGAAATATATGCAAAAAAATTAGTTTCGAGCTATGTCAAATTTGTATTTTCTTTTTGGTTGGGAAAGCACCTACGTTATTAAAAAAAATTCTAGCTTTAATGTAAGTATTTGTTAAGAACTGAAATCTCTTCCAAAAGGTTTTAAAAATCCGATTTTTTTACAAACCCAAAAGGTTTATCCAATCCGATAGTAATGTTATTTTCAATTTTAAAATCAGCAGAAACAAAGAATTGATTAAACATAAAGAATTGATTAAACAAGACAACTTTAATGTCTTCATATACATTTTCTAGCAATGAATTTTTTTATATCTGGATGCAAGCCTTTTCCTTTTCGCCTATTTTCACCAAGTCCAGCAGTTTCCATTTAAAAATGCAACATTGTATGTCTCCATTTTCACAGTCGCAGTCGGTGTACTTGATGTTCGTTGACTTCTCCGCTGGCTGTTCACCATTGGAGCATACAGAAATTGGTTGCTTTTTGTTCGGGTCTACAACGGACATGGGACATGGGACATTTGACCACGGACACGGGACATGGGACATTTGAACGTTGGATATTGGACGTTGGACTTATTTGGCGCACGCCGTCACAAAACTTGGCCATGCTCAATTGTTTGATTTATTGACGTTTATTGGCAGTTGGCATTTTATTGTGACCGTTTTTGGGTGGGCCAAACAAAGGGGGAGCCGAATGGAGGCAAGTGAATTCCCCTGCCAGTGAATTACTTTTGTTGGTGTTTTTGGCCACTTTACTTCCATTCGATTGGGTTTTATGTGCTTAATGTATTTTCTGTGCGCCGCCTTGTTTGTAGCTATTTTTGTACCTTCTAATTTCTCTCACAGCTAGCGAATATTCTGGTTGGCAATCGTTGACCCTACACCACCTACACATTGAAAAGGTCAAGGCCCAGATTGCAGGCCATAAAACTGAGCTCACCCATATTTCGTCACTGATTTATGGCACTCAAATTCATGCCATTGGGCCAAGAAGGAGGCAACGCCATTGATTAAACACTTTAACGATTTTTATGGCTTCACCACTTTAGTTGTGGACTCATTAGAGGAAAAAGACAGGGGAAGAACCGAGGCAAGCACTTTCCTTCAACGGGAATCGATGTGTGCCACACGATCTCGGAGGGGATTTGCCGATGAGCTCGATGTTTAACAATGGAATTGCCAATAAAATGGAAACGAAAAATCTGTAAATATGCAGAGGAAAATGGGGAGGCCACCACACGCCGCCCATTTCACGGATAACAATTGCCACAAAGTCCCTATAAATAAATTTAAGTTTTCGATATTTAAGTTTCCTATATTAAGTGAAAATCGGTTAATATTTATATTTAAATATTTATATTTTTAAAATTATTCTTTGTAGAAAATCTTGTGAATTAGGTACACAAACCCTCAAAAACTATAGCTAAAAATTTTAGCCATACTGTACAACATACTTTTGGGCAGAAAGATTTTATGTCTCATTGTTGAAAAGAAAAACGAACACGTATTATTCTCAAACAAATTCAGATATAAATGCAAAAGATATTAACTTTTGCATAAGTCTCTTTAAACAAGCAAAACTTAAGCCGAAATTGCCCCTAATCCAATATAATTTGATTTTCGAACGTTGCATACTCGTCTGCGCAGCCAACAAACCTTTCCGATCTGGTCCAAAAAAAGATAGAAAGGCAAATTTACCTTTAAGCTGCCAAATACCCCATACTACAGGGCCCAAGAGGGGGCGCCCCACAGGTGGCATTTGTGTTGTAAAGCGTCGATTTACATGCGTGTTGTATGAACAGGGGAATATACATTTGTACACTAAAAAAAAATACTTTAAATACCTAAGACCGAAAGTCTTATTTCACAGATAATTTTCCTTAAAGAAGATTAGTTCATAAAAAAAAAACATTTCAGTAGAATTATGTAAAATAATAGTAGAAAAATAATAAACTCCAGAAATGATACCATAAAAATAATATACTTCAGAAACAAAACCTTTTGAGTCGAGTAATAATTTTTCGTTATTAAATAAAAAAAAAATAATAAGAAACTCCAGAAATATTTTTTTTTAATTATTCAGAGAAGAACAAACTTATACCGTTTATATATTCTTTTAAGACACGTTTTCGGTACATTAAAACATTTTTTACAGTGTATATAAAACATGTATATTGAGGTAAAGGCAGCCAGGCGCTGACGAATTTCAATTTATTTACTTTTATTTGCGTATGCAAAATAGTCGGCTGCGGCTTGATTTTAGTTAGCACACACAGCCGAAAAGAAATCCAGGAGATGTAAAGCGTTTTGGTAAGAGGTTTTCCAAGAGCTTTAACGTACACGCTCCTTTGGGCCTTAAAGTTGTTGGATGCTGATGCTGAAATGTACGCAATAATTCGAGCTGAACAGCTTTTAGGTAATAGTTGATCTAAGACTAAGCTAATAAGTCTACTCTTGCAAATCAGTAAAGTTTGATCTTTAAAGTATTTCTAAGGAAAATGGTAAATTAGATTAAATAAATAAAAAATAGGAAGTGGTTTATACTGAACACTTGAAAACATAACAATTATATTTTTTTGTGTAAATTGAAGTTTAAAGACCACAAATTTAAACCAACAAATCAAATACTTTGTACTTACTATTTATTGCCACTTGCTTGCTTGACCTGTCAATTGATTTACGATATAACAAAATGCAGCAGTTTGTTTGACTAGAGCCAAAGAAAAGACCTATTGATTTTGTCTTTTAAGACATCATCGTCTTGTCGATAATTACTCAACCCCAAGAACCCGTACCCGTATCCTCAAGAACGGTCACTCGTGCTACCAAGGACAAATAGGTTGAGCGGACAAAGTGCCCCGATTCCGACACTTGCCCCAATGTCCAATTTGTAATCCATAAAGACATCCGACCACCTCGCTTTTCTCTCTGCCTTTCCGGGACAACCAGACAGGACATTTATGTTCAGAGCCCGGACGAGAGGCGAACATGTCACATGGAAATACTCCAACGACTCCCCAGGCAAAATGCACCGAAAGAAATAACCGTTTACGAGGTCAGTTTAAATTCTATCGATTTAAAGTGTTTTTTTTTTTTTTTCATAAATATGCTAAAGCAGCCTTTAGTTTAAATTAGTAGGAGGTTTTGAAGGTATTTGTTGCGTATGGTGCCTAATCAACATTAAGCAATCTTAACTTTATTAACATTACATTAATTTATGTAATGGAAATTCCGGAAAATTGTTTCTTCAATAATTTTTAAAATATTTTTAAGCTATCTATTAATTGATCTGGTCAAATTCAATTATTTATTTTTTGCTACAATTTCAAGGACATATTAACGTTGTCTGAACTTTTATCGGTTGCAAAGTAATGTGAAGAATCATAAAATGAATGCGTATATGGCTAGTTTAAGATCTTATTAAATTTTAGACTTAACAATAGTTCTAAAGCATTCTTTTTTTTTTTTTGTACTACCTTCCAAAGTACTATCCAATAATTTATTAGTTTTTGCTTTAATTTAATGGAGATGTACACGTTGGGTTTTTCAAGTCAACTTTCTTATTCGTTTTAATATTATGTTATAGTGTCAAATTTAAATTCTCAAAGACATCGTTTTTGCGATTTTTCTAGTGGTTTTTTGCTGCAAAACGGTATGATAAATCATAAAATGAATTATTATATCATGTTATTTAATTTTTTTTTTTTGGCTCTGTGTAAAAGGGCACGTCCGTCGCCCTCGAAATTTGGCTAATTATATAGCCATAGCTAATGCCGAAGCATTGTGTTGTGCGGGTGTGTTATGGGTTATGGGTTATTTGTCCTGAGTCCTGAATAAGTCATGTGTCGCTGGTGTGATTACCTTTGGTCGGTCTAGGGGTTCAATGGCCATTCGCACGATATGTCAATCAGTTGTGCTTTTGCTACTCTGCTCCTGCTATTGATCTACCGAGCTACCGAGTTATGTTCGCAGGCAGGAAATAGGCTGGCCAAACAGCCGAGGAAATGTGTTTGCCAAATTGTTGCAACGCAACAAATTTGTAGCCTGTATTAATTAAATGCGGCCACGCACGAGGCACATGGGTGCCATTCAATATGCAAATGCGACGCCCAATAATCCAGTGCATATTGGATTAAGCTCGAGGCACATCATTAGTGTTGTTCCGACAATCTACGCAGGCCGTGATCCAAATACATGCGTATTTCGTTTCTGCAGGTGCTTTTAGAAAAAATAGAGAGATATTTATTTTTTGTATTCCATTCTTTTATCAATGTGCTTATGGAATTTGATCGTTTTTCATTTAACTTCTTGTGTGGCAATCATTTTCATGTTCACTTTGAGCAATGTCCACTGTATCTTAAGGGATTGGCACACACTTCTCACATCTTTATTCGAACTGAACTGAAACCTGGGCAAAACCTTTTGGGCCAGGACTTCATTAAGCTAAAATTGAATCGATTGTTTAGCTGTGATCCAGATAACTGGCAACTAAGCAGACAGACAAGTCCTCTGGGAGACAGTCTTTGTTCGAGCCCCTTCTACTGTTCTACTGTTTTACTATTTTCTGTTTTTTGTGCTAAGTCTAAGTTGATGTTGAAGCCGGAGCAAGTGCACTTGGCTGGCTGGCTGGCAAATGTTGACATTTCTTCTTCTTGGGGATTTCAGCTCGCTTGTGCGCTTGGATTTTGTTTTTATTATGATTATTTTAACTGCTAAGGCAAAGGCAAACACACAGGGGGAGTTCGCGAAGGAGCATAAAATGCAATTTTCCATGGGGCGGAAAAGCGGGTTTGCGTTTGAGTTTGGGTTTTGGCTGGCGTCAAGCTTTCGACCCAAAGCCCAACAAAGTGAAATGCAATAAAACAAAGGGCCAGGAAAAGGAGGCAACGGCAACGGCAATGGCAGCGGCAATGGCAACTGTCTTGTCTTGTCTTTGCTGCTCGAATGCCTGCAGCTGTGACCCCTGACCCCCCACCCCCCACTGCATTTTACCACCCATCGCCCACTTTTACAGCACCCAGTGAAAGCGCATC